CGATCATCAGCCTTATGCCCCCTCTAGGACAGGTTTCCAGAACAGTCTCCTGGCCCCCAGCCCTCTCAGAAGTCCCCTGCCTGCCCTGGCCAACACTGGCTCACAGGTGTCCTGCTATCTTGGCCTATGGGGCTGCGGATGGACAGCAGCTAGCCAGAAATTGAGGGCCAATCAGATGCAGTCACAAGATCAGTAGCCACCCCAGGGACCCCCACCTGGCCCTCCAGGAAGTTCAAGAAGCTGCGGAAGGGGCTGCGGAGCACCGCATTGATTGGCGGGGAGAATTTCTGGCATCCTAGGCAGCAGCGGCTGATTCTCCCTTTCCCGCTGGCGTTCACGGTCATGGCCGAAGAGGCTGGACCGGCGTAATTTACGAGGCGAGGGGGGAAGAGAATCAGCCCTTAAAGGGGCTACCGGCCAAGGAGGCCCAGCTCAGCCCCTGTTTCCCAGGCTGGTGACAATGAAGGAGGTTACAGTTCCCCACCCACCCAACTCCTTTCTCTCCGTTACCAACCCCCCCCCCCATTGCCCTTTGTCTCTGGGTTGCTTCGCCCCCAGGCCAGCCAACCACTGGAATATAAGGACCACAGCAGAGGGAGGGGCACTTCCTTAAAACCCATTGGAGGCCAAAGATTGGCTTCTCCAAGTGGGAAAGCCTTTTATCCATAAATGCCTTCAGGCCCCAGGCCCAGTGGAGTAGACCCTGGGCTGACTCTCCAAAGAGGAGCAGTTGAGAGAGAGAGCCCACTAGCCCTCCTGCACTCAGTTTTTACTCCTCTTCCCAAGTCTGCCAGCCTCCCATCTGCTGTCCCACCCCTATAGAAGCAAAAGAGATGAGAAGCAAAGACTGATTGGAGTTAAGTGCTGCCTGGACAGTATGAAACTGACCTGCTGGCTTGGAGTGTTTCCCACCAGGGCAAAGTCTCCCCGTCCTCTGAGGGCAATGCACAGATCACCAGACTTCCCCAACAACGCACAGCTTCAAGTCCTTGTACGGGTTTGTATTGAGGCACAGGCAAACAGTTGAACCCAGCAAACCACTGGGCCCACTACAAGCCCACTACTGCACTTGCAGGCAGCCTATTAGTGCTCACAGGGTCCTATAGAGAGGAGATACAATCACATGCCTTCATTCCCCACGGGGCACCTGACACCTGACACACTTTCCACCAACCTATACTTGTTTCACCTAGGCACTCCTTCCTAGAGTGCCCCTCCTTTCCAGCTGTCCACTCAATTTCCTGTGCATTGGTCCTGGAAATGAGGCATACCCATACCCAGCCTGGTCAGTGCTGGATTCAAGCTCCACCACCCTGACTTGACTCTTACAACCTATCAGAGAGACCAGAACACTTCAAAAATAGTGGGGGGCAGGAGGACAAATATGCAATATTTTCTTTCCTTCACTTTAAACTTGACTTCCGTGAGTTTCTCTGTCAATCTATGTCCTGTACTATGTGTCTGTTGCTAGTACCTAGTATAGTCCCCAAGGATAGTCACCCCTTCCCTACTTCCTTCCCAGCTCTCTGTAGTATATCCTCCTATTCAAACATCTGTCTTTAGCACGTTTCTCCTTTATATGGTCCTTGTACAGAGTTGCTTTGTCATATTAATATTAATAATTAAAATATGGATGTATGACAGTATGATTTTTGGAACAATTTTTAAAATTGGGCCCCCCACATGTGGACTCCTCTGTCCACAAAGAATGAGAGCTTCAGCTTCCTAACTGTTCTCCACTTTATTTTCTCCAATTCAGGTGAATAATAAAAATCATAAATGTATAATAGATAATAAGGAAGAGCAGTTGCAGAAGCAACAAAAATATATAGTCAACCAAGAAATGTTGATGAACTGCCATCTATAGTCTCAAGCAATTACTGGCAAAGAGAAAATTGGGGAGCTGTAGACTAGGGGGAGGAGAGAGCTCCAAGGAGTCACGGGGACTAAAATAATGTGGACAGCTCAGAAGAAGCAGAAACCAGTTTCAAAAAAGGAGGTCTACATTGCAGGAACTCAAATAATAGAAGCTGAGCTGGGACATGGGGGTGATAAGAGTGCCCCTGAAATGGGGGTTGGTGTTTCGGGAGCTTCAGCTCTGTGATCCTAATTCTGGAACTTCACTCTGAGAGGACATTGTGTGTTGTAAGATAACTGGGCAGGAAACTAAAGACCCCTTGGAGTGGGTGAAGTAGGCTCCATCCTTGAAGCCAGTATTCCCCTCTGGGCTTTTCCAGGGAGAAGCCCACATCCAGGTCAGTGGCCCAGCAGGATGCAATGTACCTGTGAGCCCTTTCCACCTCCACTATCCCTTCTTGCCCTATGAAATGCCCTCCCTCTGCCTTGACCTTTACTCCTTTTGCTCCCCATAGTGACCCTTTCTAACTCTCTGGCTTCAGCCATAATAAACAGTCTTTTCCAAATTCCTGTTCCACCCTCCCAGGCTTCTGAAGGAATACCAGGTGCTCCCATTGAACTGACCATAGAGTCAAAGCCTCCTGCCCTGAAATCTTTCTCTCCTTTCCTCATTCCTCAATTAAAGAAACTAGCAAATTTATATCAAATCCCATTCTCCCTTTACTCCTAATTCCCAACTATCTGGCAGAGCCTGTGAGTGCAGGCAGGAAGGAGACTCCAAGCCTTGAGGCCCCAGGGAGTGCAGGAGAGGCTGGGGGTAACCAGCTTCTGGAAGCCATGAGCTGGGGGAGGGGCCAGTTAATACCAGAATAAAGAGTAAAGGTGGGGAGATCAGGCAAAGGACTGCTTAAGGACTGCTTAAGATCCACTGCTTAAGATGTGTCTATACAGGAAAGGCCAACAGTGTAAGAGTTTGTGGCTTTTAAAAAAGAGTAAACTTAGGGAGATCATGAATAACTGTCCCTTAATTTATTCCCCCCCCCAAAACTCTCCCAACCTGAAAGAGAAAGCACCTTCCTGGGTGGCGTCTATGAAGGCCTCCAGTTTGAATAACTGAGGAAGTTGTCAGAGAAGGAAAACACTACAGCCTTCTCCTCAGGACTGAAAAGGAATTCCATGAGACTCTCATTAAAAGGAGGTCATGGTGGACCCACCACCCCAATATTCAGGTTGAGGCTGAGCTCTGAATCTGAGTGAGGATTGTGTCTGTGCCACAACTATTTGTCTAGTTTAACCCCCCAAATTACAATGGACTCCACTGACTTTAACACAAAGCACCCTGTGTCTAAAACTGGGTCTCAAGGAGCAAGATATTTCTCCTAAATAAGATTTAGGAAGAAAATCATTCTTCTGTTCTGCTTACATATATAAGCTTATATCATCCAAATGAGTTCTGTATTTGGTCCTGATTATCTACGAAGTTGTTCTGCTCCACTCGGATCTGCACAACCAAAGCTGGGTATTTAAAGCCACTATTGAGCGAGCAGGCAGGAGATGGACCCGGCAGTCTGGGTTCTGTGGATGCTAATGCAACCGGAAACCCAGAGCGATCGATGGCTCAGACCCAGAGCGAAGCTGGGACCAGGGGCCCAGATCCGCAAACAAAACAAACCCTTGGGACCTTGGGTTCCGGCCAGCTCGGACCACCACTCTCTTCCACCCCAGCCCTCCCTCCCCTTTATATCCAAGAAAGCGGGGCCGGTTTTTAGGCTCCAGGCCACACGAGAAACGCACCCTGGAGCCTCCAAACCTCTCTGCGCAGTGGGCATTTGGAGGTGCAGAAGGTTTTGGTGTAATCCAGCGCGAGGTGAACAGAAGGTCCGGTATCCCGCAGCCCACAGGCCTGGTCTTAAGCCTGAGCGGCCGCTTTTCTGTATCTGCCTCCATGGAGACAGAGTTGCCGATTTTCCGCGGATAGGCCCGCGGCCCGCGCCCGCAGCCACAAGACTCCCCAGTCTTCTCCCGCCGTCGCTCACCGCTGCAGGCCCGCGCCGTGCTCGCGGCTGTTGCTCTAGGGGAGGCCCCAAGACAAAGGCGGGTCGGCTGCTGCCGGAGGACTCGGGCGCCTGGGCCACTCCCCAACTCACGCCTGGAGCCCTCAGCGCCCCGGCCCAGTGGAGAGGGCTCTGAGACCCGGATCGGTCCGGATCCCGCCGACTGGTCCATTTCAGGGGCCCAGGAAGAGGCAACTCAGCACGCCCAAAGCCTCGGCTGATCCGAGTAGCTCGCCGCCCAACAGCGCCAGAGGCTCTGGTCGCTTTCCGAGGGCAGTCGGGCCCCGCGAAGGACGGGATGACCCCTGCTGGCCGGAGCAGTGGAGACTGTCTCTCCTGGACCGCGTCCCACCCAGTTCCTCTTCCCTGAGCCCCCTGGGCCTTAGGGCACACACCATGAGTTTGTGGGAAGCCTTGAAAAGCAGATGGAGTTTGAGGCTCTGTCCGAGCTGCGGGAACTAGACATTTCTACCAAAATGTCTTCCCTTTGCCAGCACGCAGTGTCCCCACAGTGGCAGCCAGCCCTCCAGCGGGGTTTCTTATCTCTGGCGGTTTTGCCCCCGGTGGCTCCTGTGCTACCCGCCAAATCCTAGCACAGAAGCCAGGAAACTGAACCACCACAAGACGATAGTGCTGGACCAGTGGGAACCAGCTCAGTGCCAGTGGACGATTTCTCATTTTCAAGCCAAAGAGTTTGCTGGGCACTTGGAGACAAGTCTTCAGTTTGTCTGACCATGAGAGGAAAACTTCCTTCAAGGACAGGTCTGTAGGGATCCAACCCACCAGGAGTCCTTGCTTGGAAAGCTTTCTGAAAGGCATGTAGTCCACATGGAATCCTGGAAAGATAATCCCTAATATATACACCTGGCTGTGCTGGGGCCATGACCAATGTATGTTAATAGATCTTTGAGATACCTATATTACTTGTATTTTCTGGGCATGCAAAATACAGTTTTATATAAAATATGCACACAGAGGCACTGTTATCTGTCACATGGAAAAGCAATGTATAGAGAAAAGATCACATAGCATAGGTACTCACATGTAAAATTTATTTACATATATAAATACTACAGTGAATATGTCCTACATGGGGAATGTACAGTCCTGAGTCTATTTGGCCACATGCTTATATACTCCACAGGACACATAGAATCTGTGCATTAATTTTACCTAGATCTTGCTATATGTACACAAAAATTTAATGAAAAAATATTGTACATACACAAAGTGCATATTTACACACTGTAAATTATGTTTGCCTGCATGGTGTATGTATACCAAATATATTAAAAATACAATTGTTGGACTTACATCTTTATAGTACATATTTCTCTGGTGATCTTAAAAGTAAGAACTAGAAGAAGTTCAGGCATTAGTAATGACAGTCTCCATCTGCTGAACTTTTATTTTTTCTTTTCTGTGTTTCTATTATTCTTGTCTCCTAAAATCCCCTTCTATGTCTACAAGCATTATTATGTAAGTGGTCGCCAATATCTATTTCCCTGTTGTATCTCTCTTGTCTGAAGCTGGGTATTTAGAACAGGATTAAGTCCTGTTTTCAGCAGGATCTACTGCATAATCACTCCTACATAGTATTATATAATTAGGTTATCCCATGTGTCCCAAGATGCTCTCTTCTAGACCTAATGTAAGTACATTAGAGATTGACTCTGTTCTGCCAGGTAGGAAAAAGGAGGCCGCATTGGTCTGGTGTGGTGTTTAACAGACATGTTGATTTCTAGCTGTTCTCTGAGCATAAGGGGGTTCCTGAAGGCTAATATTTGCTTAATTTTAAATTTTTATTTTAAATATCGAGTCTAGAGAGCAACATGAAACAAAGGTTGACCTGGGCTTCTATTGGTAGCCTCAAATCTGGGATTAGCCTCCCTTTCGCTAGGAAAAGAGATGCTTCCAGCGGTCCCAGCCCATTGGACTCCCATTTTTAAACTTGGTTGGGTCTACACAATCGACAGGAAAAAGCTATCTCACAACCCCAAATTTTCTTTTCTCCTTTTCCCAACAAAATCATTCCCAACGTTTTTGGAGAGGCACTTTCTGGCACTGAGTTCCCTGTTTTGGCCCCCTAAAAATTAGTCTCACTTAGGTCTCAGCAACTAAAAATTCAGGGCTGTCTGACATACCTATGAAAAAAATTCTTTGAGACAGTTCACTCACACCCAGCAGAGATATTGTTTATGAGTCCACGGATTCCGCGTAGACGCTGCGATATTTTACAGTCCGAAGGAATCAATTAATTAGCGCCTCCCAGTCCCCCCCGCCGGCCGCTGCTCGGCTGAGCGGGCGCGGCTGAGATAGATGTGAGTGGCCAGCTCGCTGGTCTTGTTAACAAGCCTCATCATAAAGATGGAGATGATAAGAAGAGCAAGGAAGCTGCGGCAGCCACCGCGGGGCGGGCAGGGTGCGGCTTGGAGGGCCCCGGTCGCGAGCTGAGCTGCGAGTGGGACGACGCCTGCCTGGAGCCTGAGCTGCCCTGGCGCCCACTCGGGTTTATCCAGGGCTCTTTCCTTCTTGAGCGTTCGTGCTGTGAGCCAGGACCCGGATAATTCTCTTTCCTCTCCCCTTCCCTGAATTCTCCCTTTTCTTCATCGGGCCCAAAATGAGACTTTAAAAATAAAAATATATAAACCTCTGTCCGCGAGCCAGTGAGTGCTTGTCCTGCCCTCTGTTCCGGGGACCTGCCGTCTCGTTCCTTTCCCAGCGTTTCTCTGCGTGGTTCCCTTTCATCTCAGTCTGGCGCTCTCTTCCCTCCTCTGGCTCTCTCTTTCTCTCTGGCTTCGTGGTTGCTTTTTCTACCAGGTCGGTGCTGGCTCAGGGTCCAATGAGCTTATAAAAAAATACAAATACCCGCTGGTTATCTTGCACCAGAGCGAACAGCCCCTGATAAGCCAGATGCAATGGGGGAGAAAAACACCTTGGGTGTAATTGCTGGTTCGGGTTGTAGCACTTAATTCTGTTTATTCTCGCCGATGTGCATACTTAACAGAGAGATATTGATATTAAAGGGCAAGGGGGAATTAATTTTACTTTTATAGTCATCTATTAAGAGCAGAAGATGATCTGAGTCTCCTTTAAAGGGACCAAAAAGGGGGGGAGGAGGGAAGGGGAGGGGGAAAGGGAGAAAAATGACTGAAGGGGAACAAAGATCTTTGCCTGAAGAAACAATGTAACACTATACAGAACTATAAAGTCCGGGAATGTAAGAACCCAGGACTCTCAGCTTCCCCCATTTGAAATCCTGTCCTCTGCACTTCCTGCTGAAATCCTGGACCCTCAGTACACAGTGGTATTCAAGGAAGAATTCATGCAATTATCCGGATAATTGTAGGGGGAGTGAGAGAAAGCATTTCCCTTTTATTGTTTGACCCTCTCTGGTGTCTGTGCTGAGGAGGAGGAGGAGGAGGAGGGGCCAGGGGGTGTTTGGGATATAGAGGAAAAGGATATAGTGGTAGGGTCTCTCAATATTACCCTAAGTTCTACTAAATGACTACTCCTAAATCAAGAAGGGTCTAGACAGGAGCTTACAGATTTTGAAAACATACTCAAATAAGTAAGAGATCCAGTTTGAAGGCCTCTGATCCAGTTTCATTTTCAATATTCACTTGGCTTCACTTTGTCAGCATAGACCTGCCTCCTCTAGTATTGTAATCATCACAAGTAAGTGGATAATAGATAATTATAGGGGTGTCGATAATATTATTTTATAGTCACACAAGATATGATTAGAGTTAATGTCAGAAGCTCTGTTGGAGCCTGGGAGGCAGCATGAAGCAAGGTAGAGAGGCTCTGAGAGTCTTTCTCTTTCCTACTATTAAAAGAGTGAAATTTTTCAAAAATTGTTAATACTCTAAATTTTTTATCTGAGTGTCTTCAGGGAGATCTCTAGAATTTTAGGGGTCATAAAGCTCAGACAAGGACAAAGAACAACTTGATACTTGAACTGTGCCCTTCTTAGTCTAGGGAGCAGTGGGCTTTGCTCTCCCTAGGCCTCCACAGTAAGGGACTTAGCTCTCAGTTCTCAGTGCAAGGCCACTAGTGTTGTGGAGACTTGGTAGGTGAGACTAGAGAGAGCAAGACAGGAGCTGATCAAAATCAAGTTCACAGTCAACCCCAAATAGGCACTGGGCCCAGAGCAAGCCCCCCCCCTTTTAATCCCAAATTTATTTTCTTTCCTGGAGTCTCCTCCCAAAGGACACATGAGTGGACGTAAAAGCCTAGTTGGGACTGCAGAGGTCAGTTCATGGTGGGGATGAAGGGAAGACTGAAAATATTTTTTTCAAGATGGGTTTGTGGCTCAGGGGTAGAACACTTGCCTACCATGTATGAGACCCTCGGTTAAGTCCCAGCAGCATGCACGCTCGCACCAAAAAAAAAAAAAAAATTGTTTCCAGGAGTCAAGAGTCCGGAAGCCTGTGGGAGACAGGGGAAGACTGCCTTAGAGGCAAAGGCAGAGAGCAAGGCCCAGATAATCCAGATAATCGTAGGGAACTATGAAACCAAAGGCAAGACTAAAACAAATGAGAGAAAGAAAGGGGGCAGCAAGAACCGGAGGAGAAAACAAAGAAAGGAAGAAATTAAAAGGAAAAGGTAGGGTTGAAAAGGGCAGAAATTAAAAGAAAAAGAGAGGAGGGAGGCAGAGGCAAGGGTCAGCAATTTCTCTCACTCTGCCTGGTCGCTTTCAGCAGTCTGGGTGGGCGGGGGGCGCCATGACAAAGTGAAGGTCAAGTTAGCATCGTACCTTATAAGGAAGGCGTCGGTCCTCCATTTCAGCCTTTCTCTCCAGAAGGACGCTGGCAGTGGCATTTCTCATCTTGTAAACACTGGACTCTATGGGACATTGAAAAAAATAAAGACCCCCACTCCTTCCTTTATTGGGGGCGAGTTCTGTCCGCCGGAGAAAGCTTCGGATAGGGAAGTCAACTAACGAAGACTCCGGGAAACTTTTCTTTTTTCTCTCTCTCTGGCTAGGCTCCCGCCAGCTGGGGCTCCCTCTCTCCCCCAACCCCCACGCCTTCTCTCTCTCTCTCTCTCTCTCTCTCTCTCTCTCTCTCTCTCTCTCTCTCTCTCTCTCTCCTCCCCCCTCTTCCCCTCCTAAGTTCTCCTGGTCTTCCGCATCTATGACCGCTAACTCTGGGCTCCATCTCTCCACTCACCCTCTCCCCTCTGCAGACTTCTAAAGTCGTTCTATTCCATCGTCAAGCGGAGCAGGACGTTAAGAAATGGAGAGAAAATTAAACATCTTAAAGAAAAATTCATTTACCGCTCAAATGTCTGAATATTACGGTTTCCTTCAGGAAACAAAGAGATTATCTTCGGTAAGGAGAAGTGAGATAGCAGCGATGGGGAGGGCTGATGCAGTAGGAGACTTGGATTTATTTCTCAGATCCAGGGGCGAAAAGGAGGGAAGTGAGAGAGAAGCGTTTTAACCCAGCAAATAGCGAAGAAAGAGGCTGCAGCTGGTGATCACGCAAGGACCCGGTACTCCCGCTGCGATCCCAGATCCCATAGCGCTGAGCCTGCTCAGTCCAGGCCTTGGGTGCGGAGAAGCAAGTATATTCGATATTTGTTGGTTTCAGGGAGCTGGGCGGCAGAATGGAGGAAGGCAGGGAGACACGGAGAGTAAGGCGGAGTCACAGCCGGCCTGTGAGACAGAAAGTGAGATCCTTGCCGGCTGGGCTGGCGGTGTAGAGCCTGCAGCTCAGTTGAAAGTGCTGCGGAAAGGAGCCTAAACTGGGATCCTTGATCTTTTTCCTCCAAGGTATCACTGAGGTGTGGAGAGAAGGTATCATTGGAGTGGTGGTATCTGCAAAGGGCTCACCTCCTTTTTCCTGGACTTCACAGCTTGTTTTCTCCTCTTCTTGGAGCCATTTTAAGGTCTAATTATTTCTTTTTAAATTGAAATTCTAATGTTAAGGATGTTCAGAAAGCAAGGATAGGGGTTTCTGTTTAAATCTGATGCTTCCAAAGCCCTTAATTGTTGTAACCTCCACCTCCTCAACCTGAAAGCTGGCCTCTGGAGTCAACCCCCTCCCACCTTGCCTACCTGGTTGAGAATACCTCAGAGACCTGAAGTGGGGCCAGGGCGACAGAAGCAATGGGTATGGTCACCAGGGCTCCCAGGCCTTGGGGCCTGGTACCTCCTACCCTGTGTTCCGATACTAAAAAACAAAGAGGCCAGGTTTGATTATTTCTGGTTGTATTAAAGGATCCTGGCGTTCAATGGAGCTTCTAAACCTAAGGTCTGAGTGATAAGTGTTTCACCCGTAGGCATTTAATCTAGTGAAAGTGCCATTTTTGTCAAAGTGCTTGGGCTCAAGCAGTTAGGGGATAGCCAGGGTGGGAGCTTTCACTACCAGGAAGTCCCAGAAAAGGAATGGCGGGCCCTGTTTGTCAAGATCTAGAGCTCTGCAGAAAGTATTTTAAATGTTCAAAATGGACAGGGGAGGCCCTTTCTAATGTTCCCTCAGCTGTGAAGGGGAGTCCCAGGAAGTGAAGAGGTTTACTAGTTGGGATGCTTCCCCCTAGTGTGGGAATGATAGAGATAGCCAGACTTCACCCTGCAAAAATGTACTCTATGTCTGACAGAAAATTGGCAGGCACTTCGGAGATTTAGGAACTCGCTCAGAGAAAGGCAAGGCCAGGCACCCTGGTGAAGGCAGAAGCTAAAGTGTGATTCAGGGTGGATAGGGGAATCTGAAGGGGCAAGGCTGAAAAGGTATCACCCAAAACCATTTCCTCAAAGAAGCCAATCCACACAATGGACTCCAATATTGAAAAACACCAGATGATCTGCTTCGAAGGGACATAAACAGGCTCAGCGGATGCAGGTTAATAAAACCTGCAAAAGCCCAGACAGGAACACTTAAAATGCCCCAGAACAAAGCACACCGTGACAAATTCTCACCCAACACACAAGTACACGCACCAGAATGTTCCCAGGCACAAAGAGAAAGAGACCTTTTCTACCTCTGGCCTTCACCCGTGGACACTCAGGTATACCTGCCCAACTCCAAGAACACACACAAATCTATGCATTCTTCTAAACTGACCCAAAGAAACCCCTAAGGGTCTTGGGCAGGCATGGCTGCACTGCACACCCCACAGAGCCAGCCCATGTCCCTTGAGCCTTGCTAATGCATGATCCAGATCCATACCGGGAGATAAAAGTCTAGACAATAGACGGCTGTTTATGACAACAAGGCTCTCCAAGTTTGGGGCTGGGCGATAAATCTCTGGCGAATCTTCCTGTAACTCAACTTCTGGCTGTAGTGAAGAGAGAACCATGGAGATCACAGAAGGCAGCAAAATGGGGGAGACTTTTAAATCGTGAGCAGAAGGAGGCTTTCTTGTAGGGGCAAGAAAATGGAGGCCAGCACACTCGACCCACGCAGGCATCCACACTGTGGAAGCTATCAGATGGATCTAGCTTTCAAGCCCTGGCGAGTCAGGGCTCCCGGAAATCCGGCAGAAAAGTGCGGGCAGAAAGACAGGGCCTAGAGGCTAGGACAGACCCACAAACCATTCTTGTTGGGGGCAAAGATTCTTTTTTTGTTGGTGACTGGAATCTTCTTGCTCTGTGACACCTGAATTTTCAGATCCTTCTTTCTGTCTTCTCTCTCTTGCTCTCTCTCCTTCTCCTCCCTTACCTTCTTCTTCTCCCTCTCTCTCTCCTTTTCTTTTTTGGATTGATGGGCTGTTCTCTTTTGCATTTTCGATCCAGGCATCTGATTACAAGTAAAGAGGCACTGAAGTTGATCTCATAAAAATGCCGCGAGCTCACTTTGATCAGCTAGGACTGGGTCCGAGCCTAAGTAGGCGCTAAAGCCTGGGAATGGCGGCTTGGGCCAACCCAGTCTTTGCTATGAGCAAGGGGGGGAGATTTGGGTGGCCCAAGCGGGCAATTTCGCCCAGAAAAGATATTTTCTGTGGGGCCACAACTGGCTTTGGAAACTAAGGCTCAGGGCAGCGGCTCCATTTCCAGACTACTTTTAAGGCATTTCTTTCATTTTAGAGCACTTGGTGGTGGGGGGCAGTGAAACTGGCTCATAAAATCGGGCTTTTATGGGGAGAAATGGGGTTGCACTGCTAGCCTCCTGGGACAATACCTCTGAGGAGAAAGCTGGGTGGGGCTACGGGGGTATAGAAACTGCCCTTCTCCTACCACACACCTCTTCCATGTGCAGGAGGAAACTGAGCAGAGTCCACCGCTTAGGTGGCCTGACTTGTGGCCTTGGGCTTGGGGCTCTGACCAAGGCTGAAGCTAGGCAGAAGCTGCAAACCAGCAGTCCCACCCTTTCCAGTTTCTTGGCTGAGGTGGAGTGGGGTATGGGTGTCTCCTTTGAAAAATAAGCTGTTAGTCTGAAAATCCCAAAGCACTCTAAAGGGATTATTCAATGCAACAATATTGCTCTAAGGGACAGAAATATGTGCAAAAAGGTGCAAGCTGATTTTTTATGAGGGCTCCTCCTCGACCTCCAAGGATAAGAACTGTGGGTGTCCATGCATGGGACTCCTTCCCCTTATCTTTTCATTGACTCTATACAGGACTGAATTTACAACCAAAGCCCACAGGAGAGCTTAGACACCCCTTTTCTTCTCCTAGGGTTTTCTTCCTAGTCATGGTCTGTGGGGTAGTCACCTCTCCCCACCAAGATCTGTAAAACCCACAGCAGCAGGAAAAGGTAGACAAGCTGCAAGGCAACCCTAGCGCTGTGTGTGGGAGGCCGCTGGGAGCTGCTGAGGCCAGAATTCGCTAGATACTGCCCCCTTCTGAAGCTGTCTCTGCGTCCCTGTGTGGGAGGGAAGGGCGCTGGTGTGGCCCTGGTCAGACTACCAAGGCAGTTGCCTAGACCACAGCCGCCTGCTAGCGGTCAGGCAGGCAGCGGGAACTGAGGCCAACAAGAGCCAGTAGAGCCAGCAGGATGGCCCTCCCGCGGAGGATTTCAGGTGAAGGATCGGACTCTGGGCGGTTGGAGAGACCTCCCCACCTACCAGGTGAGGAAAAAAAATAGCCACCTGGAGTGAAGCCCACCAGGGAAAGGATTGGGGCCACAGATGGGTCCCTGTAGGGGAGATAACTATTGTCCTGGCCAGAAACTGCAGATTGAGAGGGTGCAGCCTGGGACAAGCAAGCTCAGACCATGTTTATGGGTGGTCTGGAACCAAAGTTAGGCAGAGAAGTCACTACCCCACACCTTAGGTATTTTTGCCGATCAACATCTTGCTGACCTTAGGGCCTTCTTTCCTTGATCCCAGCCGCAACTGACAGCTGCTGGAATTTTTTTAACTGTTGAAAAATTAAAAGTCAGAGAAACAATAGGAAAAAATGTAAGGTTGGTGTTGTACTTTTAGGAAGCAGAGTATAACTTCTCAAAGTCTGTACTGGGAGACCCCAAGTTTCCAGGATATTAAGTCATTGATGTTCTTTCTTGCATTTCCTTTTTGTTTCTGTTTGTTCGTTTGTTTGTTTCAAGGAAATAAGGCCGCCAGCAGCCCCTTGCAGCCGCCTGGCTTACTTTTATGATGGCCCTGGAATAAACTTGGTGGTCAAATTCAAGTGCTCAGGCCCACAGCTGTCTCCTCACAGGAAGCAGCCCACACCCCCCTTGTCCCTGCCTGTGCAGAATGTGCCTTGGGGGACTGGGCCCCTCATTGCCCGGGAGGCCAGAAGGGGGAAGGAGGCAGACTCTCCTAGGGAAGTGGAGAAAGCAGAAGGTGAAACACCACCCTCATCAACACCTCTGCAAGGGATAGGGGTACCTCTTGCCTCCCTCTCCTTGATTACTATCACTGTTTGGGGAGCATTTTGCCTCTAATAAACTCAAGTTTAATGAGGTCAGTGCGAACCCCATAAAAACCACAGTTCCGAGTTCCCCACCATTATAATTTAAAATGCTGCCCCCAGTTTACCCTATAAAAAGGGCTGGGGGAAGTAGGAAACACAACAGATTTTTCCTTTTGGTCCCTTCCGCACAGAGAAGTCCCACACTTTAGCAAAGCCCCAATCTAGTTCCTCTTTGCCCTCAGTAAAGATCTAGCCCAGACTTAAGGAGGGCTCAGAAAGCAAAGCCCAGCACTGAGTAGGTAGAAGGGCACAAGAGTACTCTAACACTCTAACCTAAAGAATGGGACCTAGGGTCAAGGCAGACCCCACCCAGGTTTTACTCTAAAAGTTGAGCAAATTTAGGGAGGAATAAAAGTTGAGGAGGAATGGATTTGGCAGGGTTGTGTTTAGAGAAGTTACCATAGGTCTTCCCTACCTGATCTGGGGGCCTCGTACTTCATCATGCTTCAGCAAGGAAAATATAATCATGATTAAAAAATTTAAAGTGAAAACCAATTTTGACCAAAAGTTAGGGATGTAAGGTGGGTTCTAGCTCTTTTTTCTTTCTTTCTTTCTTTCTCTAAGAGCTCAGTGGGCTCAGTCCTTGGGGTCTCAGCTCTTCTTCTCCTTTCTTAACAAATCACACTTTGGCAGTTCCTCTTTGGAACCAAGATTGCTCTCTGCTCATGCCAATTGATCAGGTCCCTTTGACTCAGTCCAGAACCTTTCAATAAAGTGATTTTCTGATTCCCAGACATGTCTTGTGGTGCCCAAAGGGATGGGAGACAAGAGGACAAAATTACCTACCCTTTGGGTCACAGTCATCCAGGAGGATGACAGACTTGGAAGAGAGCAGGGCAAGGCCGGACTGAGAAACAAGGAGGCAGTGGTATCTGACTTTCACCAAGGTTGAGGTTCTGGAGATTCCCTCTAGAGAGAGGCCCCTGGCCCTACTCTGCCTGCCTTGGGACCCACAGCTCTCTACCACTGTCCAGCTGGTCTGTACTGTACCTGGCCCCACCATTCGCCTCACAGGTCTCCCAAATCATTCAAGAATAGGAGCCCCAAACCTAATTCTCCCACCATATTCTGCTGCACCCCCCATTAGGCTTCTTTTCAGCCTACTAGCTGAGCTGAGCCCCCAACCCCAAGGGCCCTAACGTAGATGCATGACTTTCTTTCCAATCTTTTTCTTTGGGGTTTGGGATTTAAAAATCTACAGTGGATGGAGCTTTCTGCACATTGATTGACAATAAAGGCAAGCATGAAATATTCACCCAGGGCCACTCTCTCATACTAAATATTTAACACAACATTAGAGAAGGTTTTTCCCAGACTTCGCCAGGCACCGGCTGGGCGGCTGGCGCTTCGCTTACCACTCATTTATGACTAATCGGAGTCCCTAGCTGGCAACAGCACAGCAAGCCAGACAAAGTTGGGACACTGGCTTGTAGATGAGCTGCCTCACCTTTGGGAAACTTCAGATACTCTTCCGGGGAGCTTCTCCAAATACCTAAAAGGGAGTCTTGACAACCAGCTCTGGCCAGAAAAAATAATAGAATGGACTTCTTCAACTCTTTTGTACAGGCGCTGACTGCGGGTTGGAGGGGTAAGAGTCCCTAGACTTGGGGGAAAAGGATTCACTATTCTCCGGGAAGTGAGCAATGGGGAAAGAAGTCTTCATTCTGGTCTCTGCTGATCACAAGGAAGAAGCAAGACCCCCATATTGAAAGCTCGCCTCTTTTCCCCAATCCTGGGGGTGGGGTGGGGAGCAGCAGCTAGGGATAAAAATACTATTGCCCCCTCCCAGCCACCGCCCCCGCCCATCCCACCGCCCACCCCACCCCAACCTCTCTCTCCTCCTTTGCTCGCTCTGTGGAATGGAGAGGAGGGGAGTGACGAGAGAAAAACGAATACAAATCTGCAATTGATTTTCATAATGTTTCTGCGGTGTTTGCAAACCAATCGCCTGAACGTCCCCGACCTTACCTAAGAGAGAACCCCTCCTACGTCTGCGAAGTGCTCCGAACTGATATATGACAATATCTACTTTGGATCACGTGCTCGGGGAGAGAGACTAAGACGGATAACGCGTCATCTCGCCTTCCCAAAATTTCCCCCCTCACTAGACCGGGTCCAAAACCTCCATCCGGAGCCGGCAGGAGAGGAGAACGATGTTTAACTCGGTCAACCTGGGCAACTTCTGCTCGCCGTCGCGCAAAGAGAGGGGCGCTGACTTCGGCGAGCGAGGGAGCTGCGCCTCCAACCTCTATCTACCCAGTTGCACTTACTACGTGCCCGAGTTCTCCACGGTCTCCTCCTTCCTGCCCCAAGCCCCCTCTCGTCAGATCTCCTATCCCTACTCGGCCCAAGTGCCCCCGGTCCGGGAGGTCTCCTACGGCTTGGAGCCATCCGGCAAGTGGCACCATCGGAACAGCTACTCTTCCTGCTATGCCGCGGCCGACGAGCTTATGCACCGGGAGTGCCTTCCTCCTTCCACAGTCACTGAGATCCTCATGAAAAACGAAGGTTCCTACGGCAGCCACCACCACCCCAGCGCCCCACATGCTGCCCCCGCCGGGTTTTACTCTTCAGTCAACAAGAACAGCGTCCTGCCTCAAGCCTTCGACCGTTTCTTCGACAACGCCTACTGCGGTGGCGGCGACGCGCCCGCGGAGCCCCCCTGCTCCGGCAAGGGCGAGGCCAAGGGGGAGCCAGAAGCGCCCCCGGCCTCGGGACTGGCGTCCCGGGCTGAGGCGGGGGCCGAGGCGGAGGCCGAGGAGGAGAACACGAATCCCAGCTCGTCCGGTTCTGCCCACTCGGCGACCAAGGAGCCGGCCAAGGGAGCCGCCCCCAGTAGGTAGCAGCGGCCGGGAACAGGCGGGCAGCAAGGGAGGGAACGAGAGGGAGGGCTAGAGTAGGGGGGTGGCCAGGGGAGCAGGGACAGCCTCGTGTTTTGGGTCAGTCCGATTTTATGTGGAGTTTTATAAGCATTCAAAGGATTTTATTATAACCTACAAAGCCCTCTCTCCCAACGACTCGACTTTTTACGATGGAGAAGGGGTGGGAGGGAGGGAAACGGGCTCTTTGGAAAAGCCGGGTGAACCCCCCTCCCCCGTTATCTTCCTCGGTCTGTGAAAATTTTAAAAGTGCCACCATTGCGGGCGATATTAACTTTGATCGTGAACTTAGAGGAGCATTTAAGGAAGGATGGGGAGCCGGGTTGCCGGGGGGGTGGGAGGGAGGGGAGGGGTGGAGGGGGAGAAAGGGGAGGGCGAGGGAAAGACTGGGAGAAACTCAGAGAGGGGGAGAAAAGGAAAGAAGAGGGAGGAAAGAAGCAGTGGGGCAGAACCTGAGACCCGAGAAGGAGAGCCAGGGTTGCTCTGCTTCTTTTTAAAATCAATTAAAAAAAAAATGTTCAAACTATGTTTTCGCGAATCTTGGAGCAGAAACCCAAAGAACCAGGGGCTTGGCGGCGACCCAGGCTTGAGGAGAGGTAGATCCCGGCTCCGCTGTGTTTTAGGCAGGGGTCTCAGCGTTTCTTCTCGATCTCCGGCCTCGGTGCAGGCCTAGCGAGGCAGCATACCAGGCGCGGCCCGGCGGGCGGCCCCGGGCGCCAAGACCCCCCCCCCAAGAGACTTTAGGGTGTCTAGGTGCCTGCTCCCCGGTTTCCTCTCGGCTTCCCCACTGTTCTCGCCAGGTCATACTTTGTGCGCCTCGTTCTCCGCGGTTCCCCCGGATTTCTGGGGGAGATGGTAGTGGACTTTCAGAACCTTTAGGAGGGCAGCTCTGTGATGGAGCCGCCAAGGGCTGCCTGAGAGCAGGCCAGGGGCTCACGGAGACGCACGTGGCCCCAGCAGGCTTTCCTTTTCCCCCAGACCCTGTCAGCTAAGGCTCCCGCCTGAAGGGCAGTGGGGCGCCAGTCGCTCAGTGGCCGGAGCTAGACCAGGCGAGGGGGTCGAGGCTTACCCCTGCTTTGCGGCCTGCAAGAGGAGAGCCGCGGGCCAGGCGGGAGGGCTGCCCAGCGGACGGGCTGGGAGAAAGGCCGCTGAGCGCTCAGCGGGCTGGGCTGGGGTCGCCCTGGTCTCACGTGTCTCTCTCCCCCTCTCCTCGCACTTGCCTCCTCCCCTCCCTCCAGACGCCCCCCGCACCCGCAAGAAGCGCTGCCCTTATTCGAAATTCCAGATCCGGGAACTGGAGCGAGAGTTTTTCTTCAACGTGTATATCAACAAAGAGAAGCGGCTGCAGCTGTCTCGGATGCTGAACCTGACGGACCGACAAGTGAAAATTTGGTTTCAGAACAGGAGGATGAAAGAAAAAAAACTAAGCAGAGACCGGCTGCAGTATTTTTCGGGAAATCCGCTGCTGTAACTGCAGACCGGGGGCCCTTTTTGGGGGAGGGAGGGAGGGAAAGGGGGAAATTATTTTATTTTATTTTTATTTTTTATTTTCTAACTCGTCTTTTTTCCGCGGGTGGAAAACTGGACTGGCCAGGGCTGGCCCCCACCGCCGTTGCTGGCACTTCCTTCCGGAACCTCCTTCACCTTCGGTCTGTGGAGATAGAGACCGGCCTGGAAAAGGAGGTGAAGGGAAGTGTCTGACTCACGGCGATTGGATCCCTTTGGCGCCGAGGCCCCAAGACTCTTTATTTAAAAGAAAACACACCTCGCGACAGTGTCTTGCTGCTCGGATTTGGTGGAGGGAGGGGCGAGCGTAATGGGCGCCTGAGCTGAACAATCCTTGAACTACAAGCCTTCCCTTGCCCAAGTGAACAGATCCACTAAGACACCTTGTTTGCAAGGGGAGACCTCTCGGGCTCCCCACTCCTGCCCCACGTTGCCCCACTGTTAGGGGGCAACTAAATGTGATCCTGCCTTGCTGTGAAATTCCTGTACCTTTGACCTGGTGTTAGGTGTGCAAAGTCCGTGTCCTACCTCCGTCTGCGCCCTGGCTCCTCCCAAGCCTAGTTGTTCTCCCCCTAAATGTGTAGAGCCCTTCTTTGAAATTTCTTAACTGGCACATCGAGGTGTCCTAACCTTTCTCCAAGCAGTGCCCCCCTCCACTCCATGGATTTATAGGTAGTCTTTGCAGTTATTACCTCCTTTTTTACTTTTTCTTTTCTTTCCTTTTTTCTTTTTCTTTTCTTTTTTTATAAAGAGGAAAAAAGAGAAAATTGGGGTGGAGGAGGCAATAGGAATGGAATTGGGCACCTCCCCCTTGCTGGGGCCTGAATTTTTGTAAATAAATTTCACAAGCCTTTATTTCTACCGGAGAGGATGGGAAAGGACATGCCAGAAGGAAATTCAAATCACCCATCTCCCTCCATGTGCGTGAGTGCGTGTGTACATGTGCAATCCCCACCCTGCTCCCGATCCAAAGGGGTTGCTGTTAATTTTTTTTTTGGTGGCAAATAAAGATATTTCATTCTGTTCAATATTATGATTTTTATTTGACCTTTTTATTAAGCCCTCTCCTCTTAAAATCCTCCATCCTCTCAAGGCAGAGGAGGAGGAGGAGGAGGAGGAGGAGGAGGAGGAGGAGGAGGAGGAGGGAAAATGCAGGAGATCCCCACCCGTAGGCACAAGCCTGCAGAGGCAAGGCAGATCCATGCTAGAGCTCTTCTCCACTGGCAGGGCCAGGAGTGTGGCAGTGGCTTCTTCCCTCTCTGAAACAGAGGATATTCCAGGGCTACTCTTAAGATCTCCTTTCTCGTGTGAAGCTCAAGCTGTGTCCAAACACCCAGCAATGCTTTCTGTCCAAGCACACGTTCGTTGTGGAGTTAATTGTAACCATCATCAAATTTAAATTTATAGGAATTTTCTTGGCTCCACTGTCCTCCTGCCAGATGTCTCCGTCTGTCTCAGTTAAATGTGTAGAGTTGAGGGTAGGGCTTTTGTGAAGTTTTTTTTTTTTTTTTTCCCTCTATGAGAAGATGGTATAGAAAATTTTATATACAGTTTTGAAGGAATGAGGGGAGAGGAAGAGGAGCCATCCCCCTCCTTGTCCTCTCCACAGCCTCTGAGGATGGGAAGGTAGACTCTGGCCCCTTCCCCTTTGGCACAAATGGCCAGGCTCCTCCAGACACAACCAGATACCCAGAGTGGAGCCACTCTGATGTTTTATATTTTAGGTGTCCCAGAGTAAAAAGCCTCCAGCTGTGTCTGACATGAATGTCAGACATGGATGGAATACTGAGGAAGGAAGTGACCCACGGGGCTAGTCACCACACCCATATGTATTTGCTGCACATTTCTTCCTTCTCCTTTTCCTCCTCTTTCTCCTTCCCCCCATTCTTTTTGATACTGGGGATTGCACCCTGGGTCTGGCACATACTGGGCAAGCGCTCTAGTACTGAGCTACATCCCTAGCCCTTTTTATTTTATTTTTAGCTTGGGATGGGGTCTTGCTAAATTGCAGAGGCTGCCTTCAATTTTGCAATCCTCCTGCCTCAGCCTCCCAAGTAGCTGGGATTACAGGCATGTACCCCCACACCCAGTATGCACGTTTCTTATAATCGCGGTCCTTTCAACGCTTTCAGTGAAGCCACTTGGTCATCTCTGTTATAAATATGTTACTTGGGAGCAAAGGTTCAGGACCAATTCTCTCATCTTTCCACTCTCTGTTTTGTGTAATTTAAAAATGTTATTATCCATGTGTTGGATGAAATGGAAAAGCACCATGATTATCAAACCTAAGTTCTGCTGTTGTTGTTGATGGCAGGAGACCCTGCAGCTTAGGTGTCTGAATCTCTTAATTGTAAACGTGGGTCCTTGAGACAACTGTTGTGTATATGTGGCCCACAATTCTTTCATGTGCCCCTGCACATTTTGTTGAAGTCAGTGTGCCTATGAATGAATGTGAGAAGAAATATTATCTGTACACTTTTACCTGGAGTACAGAATGAGTCACCCATAGTGTGTAACCATTGGCAGTGTTTAATGAGTGTGGACAGGAGCACAAACTGAGTGTGCGTGGCACTTCTCTAGGTATAATGTTTGTCCACTAGCCATATCAGGGACCATCAGCCTGTTGGCCATGTTTCCTGTAAAGGAGGATGGAGATAACTCTTTAGAATGAACAGTTTATAAAGCAAACTATTAACCTTTAAAGGGCTCCTGATTTGGGGGGGGAAAAAAGTTCAAAACTGTCAGCTACCACTTTCTCTGCAACGTGCAACCCAGAAAAGATTTTCAACTCCAGAAGAGATTTCTGAAGGATGAGAGGAGAGTCGTTGTGAAAGAAAAACAAAGACTTCTGTGACCCAGGCCCAGGAACCTGCCTTGGTGATCTTCTAAAAAGGAAAAACAGGGGTCTCTGGCCCCCAAGAAACCCACCTTCAGACTCCTGAATGTCCAACCCCCCTGGCCGACTAGGGGCACTCTGGACGCAACCTCTTGGGGTAATCCCCTCCAGCCACAGCACTGCCCGGGAACAAAAGATCCTCGTCTAGACGCCGCCATAAAGCGCCCCCCCCCCCCCCCCCCCCCCGCCTCTAAACCCAGATTCATTTCGCTCTTAACGACCCAGTCTGGCCTGTGTTAAAAACCGCTTCCGCCCTAAATAGTAAACAAACCCGAAGTGGACCATCTTAGCTCCCCCAACACACCCCAGACCCCCACCCCATCATCTCCTTGCCCCACATTTTCCCTCTTTTTCACTATCCTTTCTCAGCTCCCAGCTCCCCCCTGCCCAAGTAAATAAACCCGAGGCCGAGTTCAAAGTTTCCCGGAGCTAAGGAGGAATGTTGGTTGTAAAAATCCAAGTTTATAGCGCACGTGGGAGTTTACAAGGGTATTAAGTGGTGTGGGCTGACAGAGAACTCTGGGCCCCTTCCCCTCCCACTATGGGCTTTGGGGGTGCAGAGGAGCCAGAGGCACTCAAAAGGAGATGTGGGTTTGGGGGTAGCCTTGGGTTTGGGGTTTCTTTGTCACTCAGACACTTAGGGTGGTGGGGAATGGCAATGCAAGGGTCCCTTAGAAGAAGACTGACAACCCCCATTAAGCACCTCTGAGAGCATGGATTCTAAGCATCCCAGATGGAGAAGCTGAGGAGCCTTGTTTGGGGGAAAGCAAAAAAAAGGGGTAGACCAGGGTCTGAAAGGTGAACAGAGCTGGGGTCACTTGCAGTCAGTCCTCACTAAGAGAAAAGAAACAACCTTGAGCTAATTTCTTGAGTGGCCTGAGTGGACAGAGTATTTTTTTCATCAGGGCAAAGAAGAACTTTGAACTTCAAGGGAGTCAAGGGCACCACCCCTTCTCCCCCCACCCCTCCCCTCTCTGGAATCTGTAGGGCAATTCCTTTCTGGACTAATATTCCCTGAAGAGGGCAGCCCCTGGGGTTTCCTGTGCCCTAAGGCTAAATAATGCAGTTTGCTAAATCCTGCCTGCTCAGGGCAGGCCAGAACTCTGTGCACGCGACTACACTCTTTATTATTCATATAAACCTTTGGAAAAGGCAACGCCTGGGAAGTTTTTATAACTTTGTTTGGCATAAAAGTTTTACAAGATTCCCCCTCCCTTAAAAAAAAAAAAAACTTAAAAGTTTTGGTCCTGCCATAGCCTGGCATCTAAGATCTTTGAGAGTGGAAAGGACTCTGGGGCTCCATTGTCTGGGTGTGTGTGGGGGGAGCTGTCTTTCTTTGCTGAAGGCAAAAAGGCTTGAAGGTTAGGGTCAGTCCTTCCAAAGGCCCATCTTGGACCTGCCTTTGGGGGCTGCCAGCAAACAGAGGCTGCAGGACTTCAGGAGATCACTATGCTCTTAAGATATGACCTTATAGACCTCCAAAGTTTGGATAATGTCCCCAGGACAAAAGACTCCCCACCACACCCTCTTATTGTCCTCCAGGCACCATTCTGTCCCTCAACCCTGCTACACACACAGCCCTGCTCATGCCCCCCATAAACCACTGCACAAAGCAGAGAAGACCCATAACCTTGACTCAAACTGCTGCTTAGGAATGGTCTTTTCACATAATCTTGCATCCCTGCTGCCTGTGAAATAAAAAAAATGGGTTAGAAGAAAGACAGTACCCAAAATGCCCAGAAACTCTTGCCCAGGGGTTGTAGTTGTTGCAAGACTAAAGAGGACAGAAGTCCATTAGGGTTGCAGTCCAGAACCACAGAGAACAAAGATACCCATGTGGGGACAAGGCCTGGGGCTGCCAAGCCTAAGAATAACTCCTTGGACCTGACCCCCACCTGTAACAGGCAACCTCCTCCTTCATTTCTCTCCAGCCTTGAGGGCACCAATTGGGCTCAACTTTGGGCCATTTTAATGTTCAGCTCTGAAAGTCAGGACAAAAACCGGCAGGCCTGCTGAACAAAGCTCCTTTGGGGTGATGGAAATTAAAATACCTTACCCCCAGAACCTGGCACTTCAGGGAACCATCAGGCATTAGTGGGGACGTGCCTCAGAGCCAGCTTTTCCTTTCCTCTAATGGCGACTGCTGAGGCCTGGCTGCTGGTCGCTGGCTGGCCGTCCTACACTTCGCCTTGTGAGGAGCTGAGCTGAGGCTGAAGGCGGGAGAAGGTCAACTCCAAGCCTGAGTAGCTGTGCTGGGGAGGCGTGCAACTGAGCCTAGTGTTTTCACCCCAACTAAGCCCAGCACACCAGAGAAAAATAAGAAAGCCTACGAAAGAAAGTCAAGAAGGGGAAAGAAAGAATTGAGGAGGAAAGAAAAGAACAAAAAATAAATTGTATAATGAAGAAAGAAGAAAAAGAAATGGTGAAATAAGGAAGACAACATATTAAGAGAGAGAATGGATCAGAAAAAGAGAAAAGAAAAAGGAATTGCAGAAAAAAGGAAACGAAAAACAGAAAAGGAAGCAAGTAAAGAAAAAAAAGAGGAGGATGGAAAAAAAGAAAGACAGAATGAACAAATCAAAGAAAGTACTAAAAAAGAAAAAGAGAAAGAAATCAAGATCTTGAAAATGGAACTTAACCCCCGAGAAGGAGGATCGGGTTTTTCTCCGGAGCAAACTCGCCCAACCACAGTCCTTACACTGGCTGGAAACCTGACCTACTAGGGCAACCTAGAAACAAACCATTAAAGTGGGGACCAGGGCCTTCCCCCCAAGATATCCTCCCATCCAGCTCCACCTCCCAAAGCTTCTCTTGGCGGTATTTGCAGTCTGGTTTCGATTCAGGAGGCAAAGTTAAATAACTGGTTGGCTTCGGCAAGACAGAAGCAGCCCGGCTGGTGCGGGTTATCAGACTCCAGGATTCAAGGTTCTTAGGGAGCACTTTGGGTAAAAGTGAATATTTGTGGCTGTGTAGACTCAATTAAGTGCAAGTTGGACATGTGTGTAGATGCTAAAGTCCACAGCATCTGGGTGCAAGTGTGTACAACATCCAGATGTGAGAGGGATTTTGCTGGCTGGGCCCGCCGGCCTGGCTGTGAGATCCGAAGTAGACCGGAGGCCCTTTTAATTGTCCTCAGCCTCTTACCTCCGTACCTGTCTGAAAACTGTTTTTCTGGACCTCCGAACATGCCACATTTTGCCTGGAATTTCCTGGTTCTCGATTCAGCTGGGGCAGAGCCTGGTGCTAAGTGAAGAAAAGTCAACCTTTCCTTCAAGATTTGGGAAGAGAATGATTTAATCTCAGCCTCCAAAACAAGTGGAAAAACCCTGCAATCTCTGTTGTGATTTTATTTTCTGTTTCGCTTGAAGAGATTTCTGTACACACATTTTATTTTTATTATTTTATCCCAACAGAAGAGACACCTTTCCTTTTTCATTTCATCTCTAAAATTTCCCAGATGACTTCCTTAACCACTTGGGGAAACGGACAATTTTCACTGGAGAAATCATGGTGCTTCTGGGGTGACCTGAGGGCTACAGCTGGAAAACAGCCGAATTTCCTTTCTGTCCGTTGAATACGACACTTTCTTCTGCTTTTAATGGGGACCCCTCATGCCTCAGCCCTTGGCCTGCTTGTGGAACCACTGGATCCTCCTGGAGCATGCCAGGAGCTCTGGAAACCCTCCTTGTCTCCCTTACTCAGAAACCCTCAGCCGGCAGGAGGCCCAGGCCCGTCCTTGCTGCCCCTTCAGAGTCTGGGTACCAGGCACGAAGAGCAAAAGATGCCAGGGCTTCTGGGGCGGGTGAGATTTGTCCAGAACATGCAGAGCCTGAGCCCCAACTCTGGCCTGCAGCCATGGATATTTGGGTCCCCAAGCTGAGGTAAGAAGAATCCCAGAGTCAGTCTTAGGTGCAGGTCTCTCCGCATTCTCGGGAAGTTGGAGAAGTGGCTTAATAAGAATTGGTATAGGGGTGACACAGACTTCTCCTAAGCCCCAATCCGGTTGCCAATGGTGCAGGCTGAGAGTCTTGGTCCTGTGAGCAGAGCTGGTGGGCACCTGGCAGTAGTGGCAGGCGGGGTGACTGTGGTGGCCGGCATGCCTTTGAACGCCAGGCCCAGACAATAGGATGGAAACTGCCTTTGCTCGTGGCCTCGGGAAAGACCGAGCCCAAGGGGGCAGGGCTGAGAACCAGACCAGGCTGGACTTCTTTGGAGCCACACAAATACTCCTTTCGCCTGGCCCACTCTTTCTCACTTCTTTCTTCCTTTTACCTTCACTGAGGTAGAATCCCAAAGTCTCCAAAAACCCAACAAGTTATTCAAGTCTGTGACTGTCCGAGCAAGAGCGGGCTCTTGTTTAACAGCTCTGGGTTTTCGTTTATCTTGAGTAATTAGAGGCAAACATTTGTCCCACCGGGGGTCCCACTTAAGCTGATGAATTTGATTTCTTTTTCCATTAATGGGCCGTGTTTATCATACTTCTAATTATTTCAACTTTAAACACTATCCGTTCTTGTAAGGAGGTGGGAGGTTTTCTCCCAAGGGTATTATTTCCATTAATAATAGCAAGGATTCTGAAGCAACTCTATCCCTTCCCCTGGCTGAGGTAGGTAGTAGATTTGGGATGGGGGTCAGGCTGGTAAGGGGAGAGAGACGGGAGGCCCAGTGATTGTGTTCCTCTCCTGCTGGCTCTTCAGCTTTTGCCTGGGGACTTGTTTTTGAGAATTTCTCTCTTTCACCCTCTTCTGGGACTCCTACCATCCCCTCCCAGGCTGGGCTTGGATTCATCTTGGAGGCTCTTCCCTCATCACCTTCCATCAGTCCCAGCCTGGCCTGGGTAGGGGATCGGAGAGAGAGCTGCTCCAGCCCTCAGCCACTAACACAGAGAAAAAGGCCAGAAAAATCTTAGGTAGCTAGGCAGCACCTGGTCATGGGGGAAAGGGACCATTAGACTCCAAAACAGGGGACAAGGGCAGGGGATTGGGAAAACAAACTCCAGGGACAGACAAACCAGGCAGGAAAATAAAGGAGACATGAAAGAGGGGGGAGGGAACCCCCCAAAGCCATATAATTCTCAATTGCTTTGGTCTTTAATTTCATCGTCCCATAAATGAGGAAATATCAGTTCCCATACTAAATTTTTATCCTCAGCTGATAAATATGACGGGAAATTTTCGTTGGGTCCTCGTAAAAGGGAACGGTTTCGATCAAACTGGTGGGGAAAGACTTATGCAGATAATACAAACAGAGTGGCCATAAAGTCTGGGCTGTTTCCCCTGGGATGGGCGGTCGGACAAATGGCTCCCTGGATTGACTACTGCCCAGGCTGTCCCAAGTCTGGTCTGGGGCCTAAACAGCCTAACCTTGCCCGGGACAACCCCCATGCTGAGGCCAGGCGACCCCTGCAAATGAAAACACAAAACTAATTTCAAATCTCCCCTGTCCGTTCTGCAAGCAAGTCACACACTCCATATCTCCTTCCAATTTTCTGGGGGTTCAGGGACCCCTGCGCCTTGTCTTTCAGTCCGTGGGTGAGGGAATTCAGCAGATTTTTTTCCACAGTCCTCTTCTGGCCGCGCTGGCTTGGGCCTCCCTAGAAGCGGTCCAGCCTCCTTACTCGACCACGCCAGGGCGCTCGGCATTAGGGTCCTTTCCCGGCTTGGCTTCAGCACTTCGGAAAGTCGAAACCCCAGGCTCTGTCCAGAGAAAAATGCGGGGCTACCGGAAAGACAAGTTATTCTCCGGATTCCGTTTCCTGAGGAAGGAAGGGGTGGAGAGTTTTGTTCGCTTTGGGAGAAAAGCGATGGAGAAACGGAAAGAACTATCTGAAACATGTATTTACCTTTTTTTCCTTCCCTTTATTAAACAATAACAACAATAACAAAAAGAGACCGGCCTCACTTCTCCTTAAAAAAAAAAAAAAAATGCTTCCAGCCCAATCGCTCTGGGTCGGATTTGGTTACGTCCGGTGTCCTCATTTTTCGTGTTGATATGCGACTCCCCGAATCCGATCAAAGTCCCTGCAGGTTCGGTCTTTTTCTTCAGAAATATTCCCTGTTTTAGTAGGGACAAGTTCAAGCGGAAAGCAAGGGTCGCTAGTGCCTGGAGCAAAGCGGCCGAACCAGCTCCAAGGCCAAAGTCCTGAGATAGTGACCCAGGAGCTGCCCGCCCAGCCAGGCCCAGGCCACCGCTCCGGGGTGAGGGAGCGGGGACCTCGGGTCCTGGGCTTCTCCCTCCAGGGATCCCTACATCCACTGGGAACCTCCTTTCTCCAGCAGCCCTGAGGTGACCGTGACCCCCTCCCTGACCCACTCCAGACACTGGAGATTCCCAGTCAACTCCCACAGGGAACTTGCAACTCAACCAACCTCCAAGACGGTCGGTCCCCGAACTCCCAGACCCAAAAGGCCAAGCCCGAGAAAGCAGAGCACAGGCAGCTGAAACTTTAGTCCTGTTTGGGATTCTTTAACTTTCTCTTTCTCTGCCCGCAGGAGCACCCTTCACCTCCCAACTCCCCTCCAACCCCCAAAAAAACTTCATCCTGCTCCCACCCCAAGAGAAGAGTGGGTGGGGGCTGAGAAAAGGAAAAGGGGAGGTGAAGAGAAGGGAAGAAGTACCTGAATCGTGTCTTGACCTTTTAATTTGAATTTGTTTTGAGCCCCGTTGCCTCTCTCTCCCACTTTCCCTCATTTCCCCCCTCTCCTCCCTCCTCTCCCCAGGAGTTACCGGCTGGTTCCAGAGTAAACAAACCCCACTCTACCCAGAACGCCCCCATCTCCCTCCACCCCCCCCCACCGCCCCTGCCGCCTGGGGGGCGCTTCCTTTGTTCGCGGGGAAGGCTCCAGTGCCCCTACCCCGAGGCAGCTGCTAGGTGGCGCTGTTACTCCATGCTGAGCGCTCCGCCTGCCGACAACTTGACCCCGCTGACGTCACGGCCGTCTGAATCATCAAGGCCATTTTCAAATCCCATTGGTCTAGCCGTCACATGGTGAGGACCGAATGCGCGGATAATTATGGAGCTGATATTTCCCCCCCCTCCCCTTCTTTTTCCTCCCGCCCCTCCAACCGCCCCCCCTTCCCGGATGGGGGAAAAAAAAGATGTCAGCTCCTCCGCTGTAGTATTGCTCCTTAAAAACCCCTCTCTCTGAAAATGACATGCCCTCGCAATGTAACTCCGAACTCGTACGCGGAGCCCTTGGCTGCGCCGGGCGGAGGAGAGCGCTATAGCCGGAGCGCAGGCATGTATATGCAATCTGGGAGTGACTTCAACTGCGGGGTGATGAGAGGCTGCGGGCTCGCGCCCTCGCTCTCCAAAAGGGACGAGGGCGGCAGTCCCAACCTCGCCCTCAACACCTACCCGTCCTACCTCTCGCAGCTGGACTCCTGGGGCGACCCCAAAGCCGCCTACCGCCTGGAACAACCTGTTGGCAGGCCACTGTCCTCTTGCTCCTACCCACCTAGTGTCAAGGAGGAGAATGTCTGCTGTATGTACAGCGCAGAGAAGCGGGCGAAAAGTGGCCCCGAGGCAGCTCTCTACTCCCACCCCCTGCCGGAGTCCTGCCTCGGGGAACACGAGGTGCCCGTCCCCAGCTACTACCGCGCCAGCCCGAGCTACTCGGCGCTGGACAAGACGCCCCACTGCGCCGGGGCCAACGACTTCGAAGCCCCTTTCGAGCAGCGGGCCAGTCTTAACCCGCGCGCCGAACATCTGGAATCGCCTCAGCTCGGGGGCAAAGTGAGTTTCCCTGAGACCCCCAAGTCCGACAGCCAGATCCCTAGCCCCAATGAGATCAAGACCGAGCAGAGCCTGGCGGGCCCCAAAAGCAGCCCCTCGGAGAGCGAAAAGGAGCGGGCCAAGACTGCGGACTCCAGCCCAGATACCTCGGATAACGAAGCGAAAGGTAAGGCCGCCTGGGCCGCGGGCCGGGCTGGGACGCTCTGGCACTTGGTCTTCGTGACCAGGACAGGGGCAGGGGGGAGGGTTGGGCTGAGGCCTCGAAAACCGGAGGTCCTGGGAAGGCCACCACGGTTTGCGACTGATGTCTGCAGGGCGCCGGGCTGGTAGCACGTCATTAGCTGGGGAAGGTAAGCGGCGATGTGGAGGTGCCGGGCCAGCCCGGGCCGTGGGTGCTAAGGCGGGGCGGTGCGCACCACAGGCAGACTGCAGGCGCCCTGTGCTGCCCAGTACGGATGATGGCTCCTGGGCGCGTGCTGGTTTTGGTTTGCTTTCTCAACACTGGTGTCCTGGGGGTGGGGGGCTGATTGTGCCCCACTTAGGTCAAAAGCTCACAAAAAGCTTAAAATGGCGATCATAGGCCAGGAAGTGGGAAGGCTTTTGAGATGAGGGATTTCTCTTTACTGCGTTTTCCCAGTTGAAAATTGTTTCCTGCGAAACGCGTTTTGTTGTTTGTGGGTTTGATATGTACATAGGGTTTGGGCTTCTTGGGTTTTTGGCTTGTCTGGCCCCGGGGCCTTAGACTGGAGGGCTGAGGCCGGAAGAGGTGGAGGTGAAGGGCTGCCCGCCACATCTCTCCCTCTCCTCCAGATGCTTGGCTAGGAGATGGCGTTGAAACAGGGCATTTGGAACGTTTTAAGTTTTTCTTTTTGGTTGTTGTTGTTGTTGTTGGTTTCCTCCTTTAAATTTTTTTCTTTTCCTTTTTTTTTGATTTTGTTTTTTTTCCTAGCCAAATTACATTTTCCCCATTGGTTTTTCAAAAGCAGCTTACAAATGAGTGGTTGGAAAATTCTGTGTGCGTGGCAAGCGGTTTTCTCCTGAAAGGGAGTGTGGCTTTGGTTGGATTTCATTGTGACTTTGGTTAGAGAGAGAAAGCCTAGCTAGAGTTCAAGCTCAGGGTTCAAGATTCATTTCTGCTCTAGGAACTGGGGACCTTTAGGATCTTTCTCTGACACCTGGGGAAAGAATGTGGAGGAAACACATAAGCAGGGGAGGGAGGCTGAGGGTAATGACTTTCCCTGAAAAGTTGGAGCAAAAAGCATCGGAAAAGGCCCAACGGGGAGGAATAAACCTGCTCCCTATGACACTAGCTACTGGCAGCAGTATATAAGAAGGCTCATTGGGTGTAAAGGTAGATGAAATATTGAGAGTGGAGCAGACTGGGGGGGGGGCTGGATCTTGTGGTGCTTTGTATATGGAAGCAACGCACACACGCATGCCTGACGGCGACTTGTATCACACTCACACACCCCCCTGACATGTTCCTCACACACTCACTCATGCCCATGCCCGCTCACATAGGTGTCTGCACTCTTTTTTCAGGAATGGGTAGAACCTCACTCTCTTTGGTCAGCTTTACAAAGGTGGCCTTGGCAAATGAATCCACAGAGATCCTGGCCAGAAGATGACCTCTGGTGTGTTTGTGAGGATAAGAGGGAGAGTGAGGCAGCTACACACATGAAACCTTCCTTGTGGTACATATGCATTGTGAAGGTCTAATTTTATACACTCTCCACAGACACTGAGCTTGATTGGGACACAGATTTATGGTAGAAAAAGTTGTGTCCTAGCCCTGCCAAAAGCAAAGTCAAGGTTAACAAATCCATCTCCCAACTCAAATTGCACCCATCCCCATAGGCTCCTCTTTCTCTCCTACTGTCCACACCACAAACTAAACCCTCCTATTCCAACTAATCCCCTTAGCCTGTACTCTGCCTGTGCTCTTCTTGTCTCCCTCCCTTTTTGGTGTCTCCATCAGGCCAGAGGCAAAGACAGGTTGTGGCTAAACTTCCCCATTTATAATTTCTCTCCTCCCCCCAAAACCCAACACCAATAAGAAAAATAAACAAGACAGGGTTATATGCGAAGAGCCTGTACACAATTTGGCAGGATGAGCAGGTGCAAAGGATGGAGAATAATCAAAAGACATTGAGATTTTTATACTGCAGTTTCCAGTGTGCATCTTTCTGGTATTTTCTGGTTCCCTTAGTTACTCCCTTCCCACTCCCAATCAAGATAAGATCCTGGAAGCTGGCAGCTTCCTTTGGTATAAGGAGGAGAGAGAGCACAGAACCATAGCAGACTTATTTGCTGGGAGCCTCCTCTTAGGTCTTTGGACTACATTTTTCCCTTAATAAATGGCCAAGTTCCCTTCTGCTGCTTGAAGAGCAAGGCTGGTCCATTTCAGAAAGAATGTGTGCCAGGGAGAGAAGCTGTTAATAAGATAATAGGAAATACACACTACACTACAGTATCTCCCCATATAAGTGGACATGTGTACATTCCTGTGTGTACATATGAATATGCAAGTGTGTATTTCTGCAGGTATACATGTATATTTGCAAGCATATGTACCTATCTACACCCAGATTGGGCGTAGATAGGTAAATTTAGATATTTTAGATAGGCTAAAATATCTTGGGATTCCTCTCTTCCTTGACTTTAGGTCCTCTGGCCAGGGAATATGTCTGAGGACCCCTAGGCCTGCCACAAAGTTGTTGCCCCTGACCTTCACTATTCCAACAAGCTTCCCTGCTTCAGCTACACACACTAGGGGAAATGGCCTGGAGAGGAAGAGATGGCAACAGGGAGATCTAATAGAGCACAGTCACTCTATGGCAACTCAGGTGGGAGTTAGAGCTGGGAGCCTGGTGCAGGGACAATGCAGTGGCCTCTGGCTGCAGAGACTGGGACAAAGTCCTTCCACTGAGTTGAAAGGCCAAAGCTCTTTGGAAATTGACTCTGGGCTCTGGGGTGGACTCTGCACTTGGGTCTGGGGCCTGGAAAATACTATTCAGTCTGGTTGGAATTTTCCAGAGCTGGAGAAGAACAGAGTTGAGGGAGGCCCTGGAGAGGCTTAAAGGAACCTACCAGGGCCAGCAAGCTGAGAAAAGTGAGAATACTCAGGATCTGATAGATTAATGTGGACTTGGGTAATTTAGATTAAATGAATGTTTGAAAGGCAAGAACCTGCACCCTTTTTTCCCTGTAAGTCTAGACCCAAAGAAATTCTAAAAGTCTTGTCCCCAAAAGGATCCCACTGGCTAGGCCTGTGGGGTGAGAGCAGCTCCCCTCTGCTCCCTCAATCGCCCCAACAGCAGGCTGGCAAAGGCTGCAGCCCTGCTGGGAGGATTTGCATCTTCGAGGGATACTTATGTAAATAATGTTATTTTTAACAGAGGAGATAAAGGCAGAAAACACCACAGGAAATTGGCTGACAGCAAAGAGCGGAAGGAAGAAGAGGTGCCCCTATACTAAACACCAGACGCTGGAATTGGAGAAAGAATTTCTGTTCAATATGTATTTGACGCGAGAGCGCCGCCTGGAGATTAGCAAGACCATTAACCTTACAGACAGACAAGTCAAAATCTGGTTTCAAAATCGCAGAATGAAACTCAAGAAAATGAACCGAGAGAATCGGATCCGGGAACTGACCTCCAATTTTAATTTCACCTGAGTGCGCGGTCTCCCCTCCCCCTCCCTCCTCCTTCCTTTCCCCGCCCCTCCTCCCTTTGTGCCTGGTGATATTTTTTTTTCCTCCCTGAGTATAAATGCAACGCGCCTGCAAAAAAGGCAAAGACCTCAGACTCTCCTTCCAAGGGACCTATGGTTCGTGCTGCGAGGATGCTTCTACCTAAAGCATGAGAAATGGGGTGCTTGGGTGTGGGGTGTGGTGTATGCCCTCATAGATGGGGGTGGGAGTGTGACTGGTGTGTGTGTCAGCCCCTCACTCACCCACTCACACACTCACACACAGCATTCTATTCTCTGTGCAAAATTAAGATCGAATCCACCCAATTGTAGGCAAAGAAAAGAAAAATAATCAAACAGAGAGGGTCTGTAATCTTGCAGAGCACAGTCAGTCAGAATCGCTTCTTCCTTGCTGCATTTCCTCCTTAGAATAATAGACGTTTTGGAAAGTTCGGCTAGTGTTTGTGTGTCTGTCGTAGCACCCAGCGTCTCCACCAAACCCTCTCTGTGTCTTTACCTCCCAATCGCTCTAAGAATCTGCTTGAAGTCTTGTATTTGTACTGCTTTCTGCTTTTCTCCCACCCCTCCCAGCACCCCACGTCCCCTATCCACTAACATCTCAGAAATTCCATGCAGAGGAACAAAAAAAATTAAAAATAGAACATAGCAAAGCAAAGGCAGAATGACCCCCCCCCCAAAAAAAAAATTGCCCTGTCCCTGTCTGGGAGTTGTGTTATTTAAAGATATTCTGTATGTTGTATCTTTTGCATGTAGCTTCCTTAATGGAGAAAAAAATCCTAATAAATTTCCGGAATCATAAGCTTCAAATGGGTGGTTTTTTTGTTTTTAGTATTTTTTAGCGACACCCCCCTCCCCCAAAGAAGCTGTGTGTGTGGATGTGTGTGTTTTGTGTTTGACTCATCTCCTAGAGCCTTTCTAGAACGTCTCTTGGCGGGTTTAATGTAAGTGAGAGACCATAACGTTGATTTAAATATTATCCAGGTGACCACAATAAGTCAAGGTCATAAAACAGTAATGTCAGGACGGTCTTGGTGCGCGCGAGAGGTGGATTTTATGATCTGCAAATATAATGTGGTGCTGCAGTAAAAGATGCATTTAAAGGTGACTGGAGGAGGGAAAGAGGCAGAGAGCAAACTGCAATCTTGAGGAGCAGACGGATCTGATTGCCTGGGGTGCTGGGCTGGGCGCACCCCACCACTGCTGGGGGGCACCCCAAGAGCCCCCTACCCATCCAAAGAGAGGAATAAACTTAACCGCCAAGGGGCACGAGGAGCTCAGCCCCCCCACACACACAGACACATCGACAGCAGCTAACAGAAACGCCGGCAGCAGCAGGAGGAGGAAGCAGCGACAAGGTAAGAGAAGCGGTTTCTTGTTCTTCTCTTGGCGGCGGAGTGGGGACTAGCAGTGTCCCCAGGTGCTTGGCGTGCAGTGGGCAAGCCGGGAAGAAGGTGTTTCAGGCATCTGTGCTTGCTAAGAGCCCAGGCTTGCCTGGTGGGCACTGGCAGCGGAGGGCAGCAGCCTTGAGCTCCCTCTCTTCCCCTCCCCGGCCCATTGCTATGGGGTTCGGTGGTTAAAGGGGTAAATTGGTGGTTTTGGCTTCTTTATCTTTGTGGGCACTTAGAGTCGCCTCGAGGTTCACGCACTGGTCTAGGTGTCTCTCAGTCTGGTCGTCTGTTGGGGGGAGGAGGGAGAGGTAGAGTAGGTTGGAGCTTGAAGCTTAGGTTTTCCTGCTTTTTGCTGGTGTGGGTGTGAGCCTTGCCCAGGCTCTTGGTCCTTACACTCCCTGCCTGTAGGGCTTTGCCAGGCAAGTGGTCTGATTGGAAGTGGCTTCAGAGCACAGGCGCTGTGGTACGATTCATGTTCACCAGGAAGCCTAAACTGAGCTGAAAGAGGGAAAGGATCACAGAGTGTAGGAGAGTACAGGAGAGCCAGATGGACAAGACAGAGGACCCAGCTCAAGAGTGGAAGGAGGATCCAGCTTCCCTTAGGGCCAGGGCCAGATGCAGGGAAATAGCTCCACTGCGGTGCTGGGGGTGGGGCAGGGATTTGGCGGCTAGCGGTCCCATTTCACCAGAGTTTCCCTTAGTGATTGCTTAGACCAGAAACTGATGAAGGCAGACTCCCTACCCACCCAGCCACACAAAATCTTCTCTCTAGTCCTTAGGGAGGTTGTGGGGGCGGAAAGGGGGACGGGGCTGAATTTCTTCCTTCCCCAACCCCCTTCCCTTCTCCTCCGGATAGATGCAAAGCTGAATCTCCCGCCCTGCTTGCTCAGCTGATCTGTGGCTTAGGTAGTTTCATGTTGTTGGGATTGAGTTTTGAACTCGGCAACAAGAAACTGCCTGAGTTACATCAGTCGGTTTTCGTCGAGGGCCCCAACCCATCTCTCCTGCCCATTCTCTCCCCAGTGAGACTGCCCCACAGCCCCCTCCCAGATAGGGCAAAGTGGGTGCAAGCTGTGAATGGGACCGCAGGACAAGTCCGGAGAACCCTGCTTTATACTCTCCCCTCCCCAGTCTGTCCTAATCCCTGTGACTGAGGGAAAGGAGTTTTTCCTGCAGCTATTGTCTCCTGGGCCCAGCTGATGGAGACAGACAAAGAAGGTCCAGCCAATTCCAAGGAAATTCAGGAGTTTTGAGTTTGGCCTGGCGGGCCAGCTCAGTTGGACAGCAGGGTGGGGCAGAATCATTAGGGGAAAGAGGAAGGGTTTCTGGAACCAACCACTTCCAAAAGAGAAAATGCCTCTAGTTGGCTGGGGCTGGAGCTTCTCATTAGAAAAGCGAGGTGCCTGGAGGTTCTAAGAGTTGGGGAACTATGAACGACAGCCCAGCTGCCTCCTCTTCCCCTTCTATAGCTCCATCTCCAAGGGAAGAACATTTGTGGGGTGTTGGCAGGTTAGAAAAGCTACCAAGTCCAAGTAGAAGAAACCCTCACAAACACCCTACTGGGAAATATCAGGGCAAAAACCTGGCTCTGGTCTGTCTAGAAGTCTCTGCCCATAGGCCTTGGTCTGTGTATCTGTGAGTCTGTGGCTGTCAGGCAGTTACCTATCTTTTCATTCCATGGAAATGTCTGGGTGAACACAAGCTGCCAGCGCCCACCGTTACCATGTTGTTGGGAAGGTTGTTGGCTGATGCCAGTGGGAGGAGGGGAGGAGAATGGGGTAGGGGGAAATCTGAGTAATGAGAAACTTTGTAAAGCTTCCTCCACTCCTTTTGAAATGGGTTCCTCAGTTTTGGCCCTGGTTGCTAGAAAGAAGGGTCTCAAAAGAGGTTTCCTTGCCTTTGAAAAAATGGGGGAGTGGTCAGAGAGAATGGGGAGATACACCCCGGTTCTCAGAGATACTGGATAAGGGAAGCCAAAAAGAGTTTGGATTGCTAGTTCTCTTACTTTGGAATAATAATGATTATTAAAACATAAACTTTCAAATAGGGGACAAAATCATGTCTCTGTAACAAAATATGTACATAGAGTTCTATATTCTTCCAGTCATTTTGCTGAGGGGGGGCAGATATATGCACCCTTGCATGCATGTAGGTCTCTGTTTCTATCTCTCTGTCTCCTTTAGGCTCTCCCAAATCCCCTGTATTTATTTATACACATACTCATTCAGTTTTTTCTTCTCTCTTACACAAAGAGATTTATTTTGAACCTCAAGGAAACTGGAGAAAATGGAAATAGAGCCTTTCCTTCCCCCCAACTGAATCGTCAGTCTATCTTCTATCCCTTTGTGAGAGAAAAAAATTCTTCCCTTGGAGGGATGTACTCAAATCTCTATGGCTCGCAGGGAAATGGGGAGGTTTCCAGAGAGACAGGCCAGCTGGTGGGAGGCAAGCAAGGGACTCCCCTGGTTTGGGACCCTCTGGCAGCCTTTGAGTCTTTAGTCTGACCCAAGCACACAGCCGATTGGGGTAAGGGGAGTCCCAGGCTGGAGCAGGGTGCTCAAAAACGCTTGACTTGGAGATAGTGTCCCCTGATGGGCCGAAATTCACCAATGAACGACTTCTGTGATTTGGGTCCCTTTGCTCCCATTTCCATTTCAAAGCTAGTGGGCTTATATGGGGTGATCACAGAGCCAGGGGTCAATGGGTCCTCCTCCCTGGATCCCAAGAAATGGAGCAAGGTCTCATAGGGCCAAGGTGAGGGCCAGTCTGGTAATCAGAGTCCACCTCAGGGCCCTGGGACAGTGGATCATGGCTAAGGCGATGGTAATTATTTATTCGCTTCGCTGGAAGGGAGTCTTCAGAAGGAACAGCGTGAAGAGGAGGGAAAAATTATCTCTCTCGTCTGCGGATATTAAGATGGATTTTTATTTCTTAAAGGACCCTCCCCGCAGAGAGCACATAAGCGTAAACTTAATATATGCTCCTCAGCCCAACTCTAGAAATCGCAATAAAAGTTAAAACCTCCCCTACTGGTTTTTTTTAATTATGATATGAGAAAGAGGAGCAGGATTTATAGAGCTCAACTCTCCGCGTGTGAGTGTTTGAGACTTGCGGGAGAAGGCGGAAAAGGCAAGAGCTCGCCAAGGAGAGCCTTGGTCTCTCAGATATCTCGCCGGCTGCGGGGGCTCCGGCACAGCCTGACTGATCTCTGTGGCCTCCCTGAGACCTCGCCCCTGCCATCGGCCTTGCCTCCGTGCTCGCTTGGAGATGAAGGAAGCTCTTCTTGGGAACAGGTGAAGGGGGAGGCAGAAACCGGAGGCTGGGGCTACGGGTGGGAACGCCAGCTTTTCTCGGGCTTTGTGTGGGTCCCACTCAGGGGATGAGGTTTGAAGTCCTGGGCAGCGCCGCAGCCCAAGTGTAGCTCAGCTGGTGACTGGACTAGGAGGGGTGTCCGGGCAGGGTGCTAGAGCACCAACAAGGTGGATCGTGTGTGGACTTTGGCCGCAGACGGAGCAAAGTGGGCTCTAGGGCTGTGGTCTGCGGCGAGGCCGGCAACCGGATGTTGAGTCTGTAGGAAGGACCTTGAGGTCTGTTGCGTGTTTGGGCTGCCGGGGGCGGCGGCCCAGAGGGTGTGCTGCGTGCAGTGCTGGGGGCGCGGCGGTCAGTGTGGGCGAGGCAGCAGGCCCGGCACACCTCTGCGGCTTCTGGGCTGTGTCCTGGACATCTAAACGGAGGCCGACCAATGGTCAGAGCAGAAAAAATAAATGCAGTTAAAGGTCTTCCTTTTTTTTCCCCCCCATTTTCATAGAAGAGGTCCTTTCTTTTTTCTCTTTCGGAGATACCTGGATTTGGTCCAGAGCAGGTTGCCCGCGGGAGGGCCCCGCGAGCGGCAGCGCGTGAGGGAGGGAGAGAGGGAGGGAGGGCGAGATGGAGGGAGGGAGGGAAGGAGGGCGGGTGGCGACGGCTGCGGTGGCCGGGGCTTTCCTCCCCCGGCGGCGGGAGGCTGCTGCCCTGCATCTGTGGCCATGGGGAGCCGAGGAGCAGGTAACGAAGGCGCTTCCCGAGGCGGGATTGGACCAAGCCAGAGGGACCGAGTCTTCTGGGTCTCTTGCCTGAGGCCTTGGCGGGAGAGAAGGTAGGGAGATCGGCGCCCGCCAGGCCTGGCAAGGAGGCCTCGGGGAATGTTGAACCTGTATATTATTTCAGGCTCACACTCATGTTGTGAGTCTGTCCATCTCGGGAGATGCGGTTTGTCTGACTGTCTGAGAAGTCCCAAACCCTAGGCTCTCCTTCTAAAGGCTGAGACAATTCGGGAAAATTAGTCGTCGGAATGCGCACTTTCATTCATTGGATTCTCTGCAACTCAGCAGGGCGGGTTACGGCGCCCCCAACTTGGAAGGGAGCTTTCCCCTGGTTTCTTGATGCGGAGTCTTCTTGCTCTCCCCGCCATGGGCTGAGTTTCTGGCTCCAGGTTCGTTGAGTCGCCCTGAGGTTTGAGGCTAAGACAGCTCCCAGTCGGGCAGGGAGGGCGGGGGAGAGACCAGAGGCTCTAGCCCCTTAATTGTACTTCGGGCCGGTATTGTCTCTCCTTTCGCTACCTCGGCTTCCTCAGTCTGGGCTCCAAAGTCACTGCAAATTTCTTTGCGACACATACATCACACAAAAGATCAGGTAACAACGCGCTCAGGGCCACTGGGGCACCAGGCAGAGGGCAGCCCTAGCTCTGGGGCGGCTCCCCCTCCAGCCACTCCCCAGGCTGGAAAACCAGAACGTGTTGGGGGAGCCGGAAATAGCCCCGTTTGCTGCGGAGCGGCAGGGTGGGGGCGTCAGCGGGAATGCAGGCCGGGCGGCAGGCCGTGGCGTTGAGAGGGCCACGTTCACAGGCCCTGGGGATTTCACTCCTGCTGGGCTTGGGGGCCTGACTCCGGGTGTGCAGGGATCCGAGATACCCACCTGGGATGGGGGCAGGACGCGGGTCTCCTCGCGGCAGGCGAAGAGGACTCAGTTTCTGCTTCCAGCGCAGGCAGGCCTTAGCTAGGAGGAGTTGTGTGGGGGTGTGTTTTTCCCAACAAAGAGGGATCAGAAAAGAAGGGGGGGAAAATAGAAGGGAACCCGGGAGGGGGCGGGGAGGGGAGAGGACAGCTGAGAGGTGAAATGAGCCCATTTCAGGGGCAGAAGGAAAATGAAAGCAAATGGAGCAAGGCCTTCGCCGCGCAGGGCCGGTACTAAGGAGCGGTGAGCGGGCTCCCTGCCTGCCGCGGCTGGGATGGCCCATTGGGGGCATAGGGAAAAGCCTGTTTTAAATTTAATCCGAACTTGACGGTGTGGATTGAACCGGAGGGAATTTAAATCACTGAAAGGGAGACGCGGGACAGGGGGGAGGGGATGACTCTAACCTGTCTGTCTGTCCTTCCCACGGTGCTAGCTTGATTGTGGTCTCAGCTGCCCAGGTTTGAGGTGATAGAGTAAGCATGCCCCTCCCCCTTAAGGAACTCTCCTGTGCCCAGTGAAATCTTTGTGGGGGGGAGGAGAAGAATGTTAAGCAATCTAAGTGAATTCACAGAACTGCTAGCTATAACTGGGTCCCCTCTGCACACACCAACAGGGACTCTCAGCTGCCCCCAAGTCTCTCAAATTGTCCCAGCAGTGCTAAGGAAAATTGAAGGGAGTGGTGTGGGTGAGAGGGAGCCTTGAAATATGGTGGAAGATTCAGCAGGAGTAACTGAACCCCAGTAAGATAACCCCGTCCTTCTTGGTGCCCCCATATCCTTGTGCCCCCCACACCTATAAGCCTGGGTTTAGGGGAAGTCTAAAAGCCTGCTTGAAAGCCCTGACCTGCCATCCTGTCTCCAAATGTGGCAAAAAGGGGTTGCAACTCACAATGTAGTTGTGGAACCTGTCTTACTTGGGTCTACTGGACTTCAAGACTCCCAGGCTCTCCAAGGCCTCCCCACGGCTGCCTCTCTCTGAGAGGCATAGGGAAAATGGGACATTGGCCAGGAGGGCGCTGTGGGCAAGGCCTGCTTCCTGATCCACAGCTGTGCCTGTGACTTAGTGGGGAGGGTTGGAGTTCCTGCTCCCAAAAGCAAAGGCAAGGCAACAATCCCCCTTGGTTTCCTGGGGGATTTAATGGGCAGCAAAGATCCCTGGATGGTGATCCTGACGCCTGACTGCTGCAGACTCCGCAGGGTAGGCAGGCCAGTGCTCAGGCAGCTCAAGAGTTGAAAAGAAGTCTGTGTTCAAAGGGGATAGGAAAGAAGGGGGCGTCTCTTTATAGCCATGATGTCCAGTTGAGGGGCTCTCCCAAAGAGCAGAAGTCCATAGGAGAGGATCTTTAAAGACTCTTTCCTGCAGGAAAGCTGGGGTTGGGGCAGAGAGGCCCTGTTGCCTGGCGAAAACGCAATGGAGGAGCAGGCATGAAAGCTCTTTCTCCTTCTGTTTCTTCGCTCCTTGACCAGAGCATGGCTCAGCCTCCAGTCGCCTGGGAGGCTGCCTGGGCCAATATGAGATTCTGTATTCCGGAGGCTTAGTGTACCCACCGGAGCTGGTCCCCCAGGAGGGGCAGGAGAAGAGGCCTCTTCCTCCTTTGTGTCCAGACAGAAGTGGCTGCTGCGCCCGGAGTCGGTCCCACTGCAAAGGCCCGGCAAGCAAGCGGACTGCACAATGCCACGGCTGCTCCGTCAGCTCTCGCCCTGCCCCGTCCTGCCTGCCTGCCTGCCTGCTTATCACTGCCCTTCTTTGGGCTAGCTATCTGTATGCCTTCCTTTCCCTCCTCTCTTTTCAGCTTACTTTCCTTCCTTTCTTCTCCCCCACCTCTTTTCTTTTTATCCTAATCCTCTGTTTCCTTCTTTCCTTTCTTGGGCCTGGCGCCTTGTTTCAGTTGGTCTGTTTTAGGCTGTCTGGGTCTCAGTCTCTCTCAGGCTCTGTCCCCTGGTGTCCTCTTGGTCGCAGTCTGGCCCGGGGCCCCGCTGAAGGCTAAATGTCTCTGCTTATCGCTGCCAGCAGCCGCCCAAGAGCCAGGCCGGTCCCCAGTCACCAAGGGCTGGGGGAGGTGCTGACTGCACTGGGGATTTGGAGAAAGCCTCCGCAGAAGGACTGGAACCTTCCGTCTTTTCCTTGAACTAGTGAGGAAGATTTTTGATTGACAGCTAACCCGACTCCATCAAGGCCAAAGAGATTTTCTGTCTTGTTGTAATTTAGGTTTCCCAGCCAATCCAGATGGAGGGAGAAGACAGTAGGAGCTGAGGGGGACAAGGCTGCAGACCCCCGTTGCCTCTCCCCAGTCAGATTATTTCCCTCATGTCCTCTGTGCATTGAAATCCCAGCCCCGGTAGACCGAAATGGAAAGAACTGAAGAGGGGGAGGAGCAGGGACTGGGGAGAGGACCTATGGAGCTGGGGTCCGAGCTGGGAGCTGCAGCTGTGCCCTCCCCCCAACTTTCCACGCCACCAAATACACCTAATACACTCTCCAGCCCTTCTATCACCCCAGAGGAGATAGAGCAATCCAGATACATGAGAAATCCAGCACTCACCCCCACCCCTGGCATTTGGTCCCCTCCTGGGGATAGAAGAGGGAAAGCAGGGCAAGCATGGATGGATCTGGGAAGCCTCCTTCCCTGCTGCCTTCAGAGCCAGCATCTCAGCCCCAGCTCCTGCCTATTTCCCCTTGAGCACACTGAGACTCTTCCCTCTGACCCTGAAATTGCACCCTTCCTTCAAATTCACTCTGCCCTGCCTAGGTGCACCACCTCTAGGGATAATCACCTGTCCTTCTCCTGCCCCCAATCTCCCTACCCCCTCTTGCACACACACTGAGGGTTTTCTGATTGCCTAATGCCCTCCCCCTTACTAAGCCACCATGGGACAGTCTGATGTAAAGCCTAGGGCTGTGCAGTGAACCCAAAATTTAAGGAGGGTAGCAACCAACTATTGGGGGGTTAATCCAAGTTCTCTGATATTCACCTACAATCGCACTGCCCCCTCCAGATTTCCTACATCCGACCCCAAAGAAATTGCTTTCTCCCATCCCTCTGTTGCTTTTTTCCCATTCCAAAAACAGCCTACAATTTTATTTAATGAAAGACACATTTATGAACAATCAAATGATCCTCATAAAATTTTTATTGAAGGACGTAAAAACAAGCTACTTGCCCACGACCGAGGTCGCTCTCTCGCCTTGCCCGTTCTCACCCTGGCTCTCTGCAGACAGAACCAGTGAGTGACTTCTTTTGGGGGGTAGGGTGATGCATAGATGAAGTTGGGGGCAAAAGAGTGTGAGCAGGCAGACGGGATGGGGATGCCCCACTTAAGTTGTGTAGATCTCTCCTCCACTTCTTCAAGCTGGCAAAGAAACATAAATAGATACAGACAATAAATTTAAAATAAAGGCGCTTGTATATCTGTGCCAAAGCGAAGACTTCCAAGGCTGATGATAAAGGTGTATGAGATTCCGAAGTTCTTCCCCTCCCACCCGCAGATCATCTTCCCTAAGCTTCCCCTACCCTAGATTTGGGGGCTGAGTTGGCCAGTGGCAGAAGGATGCTCCCCTTTCCCTCCTTCCCTCCCTCCACCCCAGCTTCTCCAGTCCCCTCCCACCCTCCCTCCCTCACTGCTGCTGCTCCTGAAAGAAATACATACATACACACTATTTAAAAACGCATTTTTAAAAGCCACGTTCCGAACTGACAATCGCTGATCTAGGCTTGCTCAGAGACTGCGGGAGCGTCGGGGCCGACAGAGACAGATTACGTCAAGAAATAGTTCCTCCACCTACCTCCACCGGCCTCCACGCCCCTATGGGGCTCCTGCGCCCAGCTCAACCCTGGGGGTCCGGGAACCCTTGCTTCGGGGATTGGTATTTTCACCCCATTAAAAAATCCTCATGGTTGGAGAGAGCCATCTGTTTATGAGCGGACATGGGCAAGGGGGGGGTTCTCTGATTATCAGCGATCCTGCGGGGGGGCCGGCGCCTGGAGTCCAGAGCTGCGGACCCCCAGGAAAACGCAGGTCGCGGGGATCAGCAGAGAGAGGGGGTGGGAGGGGGGGAAAGCAAGGGAAAAAAAAGCCCCTGCGCATTGATCCGCGCCGTATTTTTGGGTAAATACGATCACGTGGGGGCTGGGGAACCAATGAGCTGCCGGGAAAAGGCTGGAAAAATAATTACCTGCCTTGATTGTTCTGTGAGCAGATAAAAAGTACATATACAGTTCATACAATAATCTTATGTATGTAAAACCCTGTTACGATGTCGGCGACGGGGCCCATCAGTAACTATTACGTGGACTCGCTCATCTCTCACGACAATGAAGACCTCCTAGCGTCCAGGTTTCCGGCCACAGGGGCTCACCCCGCCGCCGCCAGACCCAGCGGTTTGGTGCCGGACTGTAGCGATTTTCCGTCCTGTAGCTTCGCGCCCAAGCCGGCAGTGTTCAGCACGTCGTGGGCGCCCGTGCCCTCGCAGTCGTCCGTGGTATATCACCCGTACGGCCCCCAGCCCCACCTCGGCGCCGACACGCGCTACATGCGGACTTGGCTCGAGCCGCTGTCCGGCGCCGTCTCCTTCCCCAGCTTCCCGGCCGGGGGCCGTCACTACGCCCTCAAGCCGGACGCCTACCCCGGGCGCCGCGCCGACTGCGGCCCGGGAGACGGCCGCAGCTACCCGGACTACATGTACGGTTCGCCCGGGGAGCTGCGCGACCGCGCCCCGCAGACACTGCCCTCGCCCGAGGCGGACGCACTCGCCGGCAGCAAGCACAAAGAGGAGAAGGCCGACCTGGACCCCAGTAAGTTGGGAGCAATTTTCCTTTACAACCGGCGCGGGAGGGGAGGGGAGGACAGGCGGGGGGAGCCGAATTACAGCCCCTCCGAGCGATCCAGGGAGCGCGGGAGAGGGGCGAGGGCGAGGGGGCGAGGACTCAATAAAAGCGAATTACCTTGGGGAGCTTTCAGGGAAAGGAAGGTCTGAGAAGGGGGCCCAGGGAGCCAGGTTGGGAAAGGGTCGAAGGGGGACTCCTCTCCCAGAGGCTGACTTGATGAAAGCGACCCCTGCCCTCTCCCTGCCCAGGCTTTTTGGCTCAATCGCCACTTTCCAAGAAATGCAGACAGGGCCAGGGGCTGGGCTGGGGGGCGAGAGTCATTTTATGGTTTGAGATGGGACAGGGGAGAGGTGAGGAGAACACTAGGGGTAGAGAGGAAATACCCCTGGGAGAAAAATCACCCTTGCCTTCCAGTCAGCATGGGAATTCTCACCCCAGTATGGATTCATAAAAACAGAAGGTTCATTGCCCTCCCCCAAGAACATTGGTTGAGGGGTCTTCGGGGATTTTGCAGCCTGGAATCTTGGAGAGATCAAGACTTCCAGAAGGAACTGGGGAGAGAAGTAGGGTCTGAGTCTCCTTAAACTTGAGAACCCTCTTGTGAGGGTTTACAGGAGAAAGGGTAGAGAATGGGTGTCAGGGATGTGAAATGGGGAAGGCATCTCCCCAGATTAGAGAATTTCTCTCTCTCTCTCTCTCTCTCTCTCTCTCTCTCTCTCTCTCTCTCTCTCTCACACACACACACACACACACTCACACACACACTCACACACACACTCACACTCTTAGGCTCCTATCAAGGAGATAGGAACCTTCAGAGTATTGCAAAAGAGGTCTGGCTGGGATAGGTGGGGGGGCAGGTGGGAACTGCAGGGCCAGAGAAAGGGGAAATAAGGAGAAACAGCAGGAGAGGGGGTGCAGTCCCCTGGGTGTGAGGAAGTGTCTGGGGGAGTCCCAGGAGGGGGCTGCAGGAAATCTTTTTCTCTATCCCCATAAGGGGCCAGGGCCTAATTATACCCCTCTGAAGGCTTCCCTCCCTGCCCTTAGCTACTCCCATAAACCTGAAATTGGAGGCTTGGCTCCTGCATAGCCTGTCCTGGGGCTGGCAAGAGGGGGACACTGGAGGCCAAGCTATAGGGGAGTCTGTCCCCAAGTCCAGCAGCTCTCTGGAGAGAGGAGAAAGACTTTCCCCATCTCAGCATCGTCCTGAGAATTCGCCTCAGCAGGGTTGAACTCTGAGCGGGAGACAGGCACTGGAGAGAGTGGTGAGGGGTTTAGGGACTCTCAGGGTCAGGAAGCAGAAGTGCTGAAATTTCAGGACTTGGTCGTGGGCTGGGAGGATGGGAGGGGGCAGAGGAGGAGGGAGGTGGGGAGGAGAGAGACCTTGCTATAAAAATAAAAAACAAGAGAGAGAAGCGTTTATGGGCCTATGAAACGGTTGGGAATTTGGACTTTTTATGAGGATATTCTCGAATTACTACTCTTGAAGCTGAGGACCAGACTGTAGGGGCTTTGATAGCCTCGGATTTCCTACAGTTTTAGGTGCTGGAAACTAAAGAGGGAGGGGAGATGGGAGGGGGCAAAATGCAAAAGGAGGAAGGAGGTAAATTCCTAAGGCAAAACGTGTCCAAATTCAGGTTCAATTATTGGATTTGGGGAGCCTGGCTAAGCCTGGGGTTGGGGTGGCAGAGGTCCTGGGCTGGAAAGGGGCTCCACTGACCCCTGCCTGTGTTTGGCCCTCCAGGCAACCCCGTGGCCAACTGGATCCACGCCCGTTCCACGAGGAAGAAGCGCTGCCCCTACACCAAGTACCAGACGCTGGAACTGGAGAAGGAGTTTCTCTTCAATATGTATTTAACCAGGGACCGTCGGTACGAGGTGGCCCGGGTTCTCAATCTCACTGAGCGGCAGGTCAAAATCTGGTTTCAGAACCGGAGGATGAAGATGAAAAAGATGAATAAAGAGAAAACCGACAAGGAGCAATCCTAAACCCTGCCCCAGCCTGCTGCCTCAGCACAGCCAAGGGAAAAACAGAAACCCCACAAAAATACCCCAACCCAGGCGGGAGAAAGAAAGCACGAAAAGAAAAGGAAGGAGCAAGATAGAGAAAAGCCAATCAGCTTAAAAAAGGAAAAAAAAAAAAAAGGGAAAAAGGAAAACTCGCGATTTGGGAGGGTTAAGTGTTGAGAAATTGGTGTTTTAGAGTTAGTTCTACCCAGCGATAAAGAGGCAGAAGAGAAACTGAATTCTCTTCCCCCCAGCGCAACAGAAATAAATGACACACACAAATGTGATTTTTTTCCTCCTTTCTTCAGAGAAGCCAGTACTTGAATTGCTATATTTCTATTTTTTCCTGTATCATATTTGATCTGGGCGATCCCTTCCCAGGCCTGGGGCATTCTGTGTGCAGATTTTGTACAAAAAAAAAAAAAAAAGACACACACACATACATACACACACACAACAATGATTCCCAACCCAGGAGCTGAGGGGCCAGGACGCGCAGGCTGGGTCGGGCGGCGCAGGCCGGCGCCTCAAGCGTGTATATAGCAGCGTTTCCTCTCACCCTCAGCGTCTGTCCCCAGCGTCGGTCCTGTAATGTGCTTCTGTTTGTTATGGTAGAACAGCTCTGTGTTAATATATCCAAGTTGCTTTAAAAACCAGAAACCCAACTGCATCCAGTTCTCGTTATTTCTTCTCCCTGTGGCTACCAGGCTAATGTTGTGAAGGAGGCAAGTGCTCAGATCCTCTAGGGGAGGCTGGCTACCTCGGAGGGGCAAATGCCAGTGGCTTCTCTGGGGCAGGGCAGGGTGGGGGTGGGGGTTCCAGGGGAGCAGTGGAAGCTGCTGAGGCAGAGGCCTGGCTGGTGCCTGCCCCAGCCTACAAGTTTCCTGGTGGCTAGATGGGGGGGGGGGGACACACAGCATGAATGGCTTTCCCTGGCTGTAATTAATTGTAATAATTTACGAGTACATGAGATCGTAGAGGAGAGATAGGTGAAGATGAAAGTTGGGTGCTGGGTGAGGGCCCAGGCTGGATTCTTGCCCAGCTGCATTGGTGCTTTGGTGTTTTCAGGGATGACTAGGAAAAGAAGGCTGACGGGGGATGTTCGGCTAGGAGGAAGACCAGACAGGCCTCAGGGAGCAGGACAAGCATTGGGGACTGCATTGAGAGAGAGAACAAAATGGAGAGAGAAAGAGGAGAAGGAGGAAGGGCTGGAAGGAGAAATGAAAGAAGGGAAAAAGGAAAGAGAGGAGGAGGAAGGAAAGAGGAGAGGAAGAAGATGACAAAGCCAATATAATCAGAATTAGATTTACTTTCTACTTCTCAATCATTATGCTCTCCTCTCCTCCTAGTTCTCTTGTCAGTCTCTCCCTCTTTCTGGTGTTGAGTTGGCATGTTGGTCTGGGAGTAACCAGGGTCATGCTAAGCAGCTGCAGCACTCCTAGGGCTTGGTGAGGCCCAAGGAAGCTGGTTAGAGTTTAGCCATGAGTGGGGTGCTCCCTGGTGGCTGTGAGACCCCAAGCACAAAGGTGAGGGTGTGTGTGTAACAGCCTAGTGGGGCTGGTTGACTGAGCTGCACCCCAGAGCGCCTTCCCTAAAACCAGCAGTTTTCATCTGCTAATCAGAAGCAGACACAAGCTGCTGGGTATATGCCTGGGCCCTGGGCGCCCCCTTTCTCGGAAATCCCCCAATCTGGAAACTATTACAATCAGACTGCTTGAAATATAGCCCTTTAATATCTCAGGCTGCCCATTTTGCTGAGGATGCAGGGTGTTGCTCTGAATATTTGGAGGATACCACCATAAAAGACAATAATTGGGGGTCCCAGTCCATATGCTGCTTCCCCCAAAGCATCACCTCACAGGACTGTTGATACACTTGTAGGGACCAGTCTCTACTTAATTATTTGAATCTCTTACCCACTCCTTCCATTAAACATTCCAATTTTGAGGTCTGGAGGAAAGTGGAAAGGGGTGAAAATTTTGTTGTGGTAATATTTTGGGGAACAATCAAGTTGCAACAAGCGATTTAGTTGTTGTTGAAGTATTTGCTCCTCTTTCCTGCTTAGGAGACCTCCTCCCCAATTCCAGAAGCATTGTTTTCTTGCTATTTTGGAAAGGTTTTCTCACTTTCTCACTTCTCCCTTTGGCCCTCTGCTGTTCTGTAACCCTGGCCTCAGTTCCTCACTTGATGGAAGCCAAGACACCCCTTTCTCCCTCATTTGAGACCGCTGGGATGAGGGCTTCTCTCCCAACCCGAGCTCGGCGGTGTTTCCGGGCTTCCACCCCGCCCCTGCTCGAAGGCCCTGTCGCCTCCCCTCGGCGTCCATCAGCTCGGCCTGCTTCCTGCAGCCTGCCCGCCAGAGCCGGCCTTGCTGCGGGCAGGAAGGAGGGCTGCAGGGCTGGAAGACCCTGAGGAGCGCTTGGGATTCAGAACAGGCCCATCGCCCGGTTCAATATACAATCCCAGCCCAGCCTTCAGCCTGCAGGTCAGGAATGGATTCGATTTTTATTCATTATCACTTATTAATTAAAACAACACGACACACTTCTGGGGAAATAAATGAAAGCTGGCGGTGGAGAGAGAGGTTAGCAAATGCCCTCCTTCCCTAATCTTCCCCTCCCACCTCTCCTCTGCTCCTTTGTCAGAAATCACAAAACCCTAAAGGTTGTTCCACTTGGGAAGGCAGCGGATAGGTACATTTCCGCAGCCCCGAAATGCCACTTTTATGGCGCTGTTTGTCTCCCTGCTCTGGGTTCTGAATGGGGCCGAACAAAACAGCAGCGCAGAGCTGGCTAGACGTCTGGGCTTAATTGTTTTATGGTTTAAATAAGGTGGACACTCTTTCCTTTGAAATCGGATTATAGGAATGTTTTGTCTATGGCCCACGGAGAACAGGACCTCACTGGCTGGGAGGGAGAGGTGGAGAAAGCGCGCGCGCGCGCGCGAGGGATGGGCTACAAACCAGGGGGCAAACAGCCTGGAGAAGTCATAGCCCACCCTAAAATCCTACAGGCGGCGGCAGAATAGACCCTGCGGGTCCAGCATCAGGATAAGAGGAAGGAGGAGTTTAGGGTGCGCGCTGCGGACAGGAGGTCCCGGGAGCTTCGGTTCGTGCATCCGCGTGCGCGGAGGTTTTCCGAGGTCAGAAATGCGCCTGAATGGTGTTGCGGGGCTCGGGGGGGCGGGGTGGAGGGCGGGGAGAATAGCTACAGTTTCTTTGCACAACGTCTCTTAATGCAAGAAAAGAGGGTAACAAAAAGAGAACAGTTTGTAACCTTTCACAAGGTTTATTTCAAGAACTTAGAAAACAAAAGAACAGCAGTCCCGAGGCAACACCCTTCCGGGGAATCCCTTTCTTTTGCACCCAATTGGAGCCTCCTTCCTTCCACTTCCCACCTTTGGGCCAAGCCTAGGACCTCCGTTGGCTTTTTGCCGGCCGGACTGCATTAGAGCAAATGGACGCGAGGTGGCGCTGTTGCTCAATGTTAGAGGCGGCGGTGCCCCCCGACCTGCCTGGCCACACTGACATTTGAGGCCTGGCCCAGGGCCGCGGCGAGAAGGCCCCGCGCCTCTGCCCGGCCCGGCCCCACTGGCTCTGAGCAAATCAATCCTCTCACCTGCGAGGTGTAAATAATTCACGAGTGGCAGCGGGAGATGGACCCTCGCTCTGGCAGGGGGCTCGTGAGGCGCAGGAGGGTAGGCATCAAAAATAATCGCTTTGCGGAGGAGATAAGTGCGAAGCAGGCAGCGCGTAATTAACACAAAAAGGCGGAATGACCCGGACAAACGAACATAAATCCGTGATACCTAAGAGGGCGGTGCAGGCCTCAGGGAGAGGAATAGAGATGGCCCCGGCGAGGATGGCTGCTTTCGGTTCCTTTATTTCCAGGCTCAGGAAGCGAAATAAACCAGATACGTGCAAAAGCAATAAAATAAAATAAAATAATCAAATGAAAGGAAGATGAAATATCTCCCCCAAAGGGGAAACCAAGTCCGACCAGGGGTTGCGGGACTGGTGGGTTCTCCGGACAGGCGGCGGTGGCGGCACACTCGGGACGGTCGCATTCCAAGACACAAAGGCCCAGAAGAATAGCTCTGTGGCAGGGTTTTCGCTGGACCATAAAATGTCGAAATATCCCCCCACCCCCTAAAAGATAAGGCGCAGGCCCCAGAGCGGATCCTGCCCTCTGGGCCTCCTCTTTCCAGACAGAGAAGAGAAAGTATTTATGACAGTCCCCAGTGACCCAGATGCTGGGAGCCCAGAGTCCACCCTGTTCAACCCGGCACCAGAGGAGCAGGCTTGGAAAAAGGCAGGGCTGGAGCCAAGGATGCAGCAGGCTCTGGTAGGTGGAAGCCTAGTTGTGCCCATGCACTGTTCTGGACCCTTGGGAGGGCTGCAGCTCTGGAACTGCCTCTTTTGACCCTTCCCTCCTGGCCCTAGGGCCAGAGTTCTGAGTGTCTAACAGTTGGGGCAGTCCCTAACTGAGATAGGAGTGGGTCTCCCAAATGCAAGGGATCCTGGAAGGATCTTTTGCTGGTGTACCAGTGAACCTCCGTTGGGAATTTGGCTGAGAGTGACCATTTCCCCAGCAATTATTCAAATAATAGGATGGTGGTGGTTATTCTCTCCAAACCATCCTACACTGCATTGCTATTCCTTTCTCCATCCCCAGAGCTGACTCTGGATGGGGATGGGGAAGAAAAAGATCTGGTTTTCTAATCACCTCCTTCCTCATCCAACCCTGAAACCCCAGGATATGGAAGGAAAACAGGTAGCAGGGTTTGGGGGTTTGGTGTGTGTGTTTTTTTTTTTCTCCATGATGCGAAAGACCTAAAGATGCATCTGTGTTTGTCAGGCATTATGTGCATGTGAGCCTGGTGTGCACGTGGGTGTAGTATCTGTGAGGTGAAAGGGATGCTTCCAGGAATGTACACGCTAGTTTACAGTGAGCATGCACTTGATGTGTCCCAGGATGAGAAGGTAGCATGTACTGTGTGTGTATTCGTATACACAGTGTGCCCCAGGGTTGCACTGTGTGTAACAACCTCACAAACTGGAGAGAGAGAGGAATGGGAAAAACATTCTTACTCATCTTCTTTATTCATATGCACATAGCACACATACATGGCTCTCTCACTTTCTCCCTTTTTCTGTGTTCGACCCATATAACTATACCCACTTAGGGCCAGGGAAGGATGCTGATGGATTAAAATTCTTTTATCCATTAGAATTAACTTCAATTTGCCCAGTATTGGGGATGAAGTGACCTCCCCACACACAGAGAAAGTGTGGGTAAATATTTAGAGTGTCTGTTGACAGTTCCCATCCACATCCTGGCCTGGGCAGCTTGCCTGGGGAAGAGGAGGATTCAGAGAAGCCAAGGAGCACCCCCCCCCAGGCTGAGCTGGCATTTCCTATGAGGTGGGAGTATGTGGGGACAAGTAAGAGGCCTGCTCCAGTCCCCTCTACCTCAGATACAAATAGTCTCCTGAAAAGAAACATCCTGGATCAGCCCAGGCAGAAGCCAGGAACACACAAGCTGTCCTTTCCTTTCTTAGTCCCCATAAACAGCTTTCCTCTCAGACCCCAGCCAAGCTTATTGCCATTGCCTGGGTTCCCTGCTCCAGGTAGGTGCTGGTGTCTGAAGGGACAGTGTGGCCCTGATAGGGTACCTGGTATAACCAGCCCTTGTGTTCTTCTCTAGAAGAGTCTTAAGGGTCTTAGGAAGACAGGGCAGCTTCAGACTCTGGGGAGGGGCCAGTGGCTGCAGGAACCTATGCCTGGGGCTGTGATGTGGTTTATCTTTTTTCTCCTTAAAGTCGAAGACTTAAGGACCCCCTAAGGAGACCATCTTTTGGGTTAGAGGCTCTGCTCTGGCTTGCTGATATTCAAAACTGGTCTGGGGGAGGGGGCAGTTCTTATACCTGTTGAGGTAACCTGAGTTGACCTGCGGGCTAAGGTATAGCCCCCACCCCCAGAAGAAGGGAAAGAGAAGGGGGAGGGGGCACCTTCAAATCTGAATGCGTACCTTGGAAAAGCTGGCCCCAGCCATTAGCTGGGGCTGGCTGGCCACCCCCTGCACACACCACACCCCCCATCCCTCCCCCCTCCTCCCTCCCCTTCCTTCAGGTCCCCCCCAGCCCTGAACCCCTCAACCCCCGCCATCTCTCCTCTCTCCTCTCTTCTTCCTCTCTCTCTCTCTCTCTCTCTCTCTCTCTCTCTCTCTCTCTCTCTCTCTCTCTCTCTCTCTCTCGCCTGTCTTCATGTCGTGGATTGATGAACGCGAATCGCGTGTAAGCGCCGCCACCGCCGGGAGTCTGAGGAATTCGCCTGGGCTGTTAAAGGAAAGAGCTAAGTGAGAGAGCGCGAGCTCTACCTACCGACAGTGAAGAGAGCCGCCGCCGCCGCCGCCGCCCGCTCGCCGCCCGCCGCCGCCCGCGCCCCAGACCCGGGAGCTCGGCACCGAAGCGCCCCCCACCTGCCCAGCCCCCAGCCCACCAGCCCAGCCCAGCCCAGTCCGGGGCGCCAGGCGACCTGGGGTTCGGTCCCGGGGGGAGGGGAGTTTCGGGGGTACCGGGCGGGGGAGCCGTGAGCCAGAGGGGAGGGGGCCGCGGGTTTTCATGTACCCAGCATGAGCTCCTACTTCGTCAACCCCCTGTTCTCCAAATACAAAGGCGGCGAGTCCCTGGAACCGGCCTATTACGACTGCCGGTTCCCTCAGAGTGTGGGCAGGAGCCATGCGCTGGTGTACGGGCCCGGCGGCTCGGCGCCCGGCTTCCAGCACGCCTCGCACCACGTCCAAGACTTCTTCCACCACGGCACCTCCGGCATCTCCAACTCGGGCTACCAGCAGAACCCGTGCTCGCTTAGCTGCCACGGAGACGCCTCCAAATTCTATGGCTACGAGGCGCTCCCCAGACAGTCCCTTTATGGGGCTCAGCAAGAGGCGAGCGTGGTGCAATATCCCGACTGTAAATCCTCCGCCAACACTAACAGTAGCGAAGGACAAGGCCACTTAAATCAAAACTCGTCTCCCAGCCTCATGTTTCCATGGATGAGACCCCACGGTGAGAAGCCTTTTCTCTTTCCCCCTTGGTCTCCCGCGCTCCGGGGTCTTCTCCCCCTCCCTCGCCTTTTTGTCTGTCCTCGCTTTCCCTCCTGGCTTTGGGGTCTCTCCCACCCCACCCCCATGCCTGAGTGGGTTTCTGGAGGTTGTTGGGAGGTGGGTGCCTGGGACGTTTTGGAAATTGGGGTGAAGGTGGGGAAAAGGTGGTGTGGGGGTAACAAAGGGTTAAAAATAATTTCCTCCATTTCTGTCTGTGTCTGTCTCTCTGTCTCTCCCTCTCTCCATCTCTAAAGTCAAAGTTGGGGAGGTGGCTGGGAAGGGTACCCTGAGTACCCTGAGGTTATCAGTGTTTGGAGCTGATAACCAATTTCTCCAAAGGCAAAGAGTCCGCAGTCCAAGACAGTGGCCAAGCTGTCTTGGGTCTAGCCAGACCCTAGCCAGAGAGTGTGAAAACCCTTAGGATAGACACTCTGGCTCTCTAGGGTCCCCACTGCCTCCTTTCAGAGAACTAACCCAAGGGCCATTACCTCAACTTTTTTGTACTTCCCCCAGTTGAAGAGAAGACAGGGAGCCTGAGAAAAGAGAAGGGGGGAAAGTGCTCAAAAGGAGAGGGGTATTCAGGTTGAGGGGCTCTGAAGTCCAGAGGACCCTGCCAGGTTACCCTCCAATCAAGGACTTGTGGGGTCTTCTTGAAACCTACAGAGCTTCTCAGGTCATGAGCCCCTCCAAGGGTGGCCCCTCACAGCCCAATTTCGAAGTACAGGGGGAAGCGATAAAGCGACAAGTTCCGGCAGGGATGGCCCTTGATTTATTTGCTGGTCTCCAGTTAGCAATCAGGCGAAGCAGCCATACATTCCAGGAGATCAATTATTTTCCTTATTGGAAAAGCATTAGGCAGAGAGAGGCAATGAGGGGGCAGTGGGCAGAGCCCCTCTCCCTTACTCCCAGCCTTTTTTCCTTTCTTTTAGAAACAGATTCTGTCCCCAGCCCATCTCACTAAATGCCATTCTGCACTTGTAAACAAAGCTGCAAAAGCCAGTTTCCTGGGATTGCAGGCCTGGGGGACTCTGAAGGGTTCCTCTGGCCCCTTTAAGCCCCCAGTTTCCAGATACCTCTAGACCTTGCCCCTACCCTCACCCCATCTCCCAAGGTGAAGCCAAACCAAAACAATCCCCCAGACTTTCTTGCCCTTGCCTGCCTTCTGCTGTATCCTCTTCCGTAGGAGGGAGGCGAACTGAGGAGACCAGAGTGGGGACTTTGAGAGGCAGAGTAGCAGGGTAAATAAAACTGAGCCCCCACCCAGACATAACCAGACTGGGGTTCTGTTCTGTCCAGCTCCGGGGCGGCGCAGCGGTCGGCAAACTTACAGCCGGTATCAGACCTTGGAACTAGAAAAGGAGTTTCTCTTTAATCCTTATTTGACACGAAAGCGCCGGATTGAAGTCTCTCACGCCCTGGGACTGACCGAGAGACAAGTGAAGATCTGGTTCCAGAACCGAAGAATGAAGTGGAAAAAGGAGAACAACAAGGATAAACTGCCTGGGGCCCGAGATGAGGAGAAGGTGGAGGAAGAAGGAAATGAGGAAGAGGAGAAAGAGGAGGAGGAAAAGGAAGAAAACAAGGACTAAGCAAAAAAGAGAAAAAGAAAAAGAAAAATTCCCTCCTTTTAGCAACTCCCTTGAAGTTTCGTTTTATGGTAGCAGATAAATTGAGAAGTTTACGACTGTCATTTGCTTTTATAGAGAATAGAATGACACTCACAACTCTAACTACCTGTCAGATACTTGCAGCTCTGGTTTTATTACCTTTGGACTCCCCCTCCTCTTTATTTGTTTGGGGGCTGGAGGGGGGAGATCCAGACGCAGCAAAAAGTTTGGACTCTCTGTCCCACTCCTTGCCCTAACACACACACTTGTCCCTACTCCCACCTTCTGAGTCCTTCCTGAATTTTAAGGTCTATGACTTGGCCTTCTTACCCCCTCTTTCTGCCCTTTCTCACCATACTTCCACTTCCCTGTTTCTCTGGTATTTATTTTAGAGGGGAACCCCCCCAAAAAAATGCAGAAGAGGACTCCTGGCTTTGCTTTTATGCTAGGATTAGTGTACTAGATTTACTTTAAAAAAGGAAAGGAAAGGAATAGTTATAAAAGGAAGGAAAGGAAAATAAATGAAAAAAAAATTTTAAAGAAACAGGAAAAGATAGCAAGGAATATTCCTTCCCCCTCCTTGAGGCTCCCTACTTAGAAAACTCCCTTGACTTTCTCTAGGAACCTGATGGAAACCTGAAGGAGATGTGGGTCTCTTCCCTCCTCCCTTTCTAAGGGGTCACTAGAGGCCTATGGTCACCTCTGAAATCCTACCTAGCCATCCCATGGTCACTCAGGCCCATGCCTTCCTTGCCTTCGCTATTTGATTTCTGTTCTTTTGGGCCCGGCTTCCTCTGAGCTGCAGCAGTGCTAGCGCTCAGAAATCACCATAATCATGAAAATAATAATAACAATAATAGTAATACTGACAATAAATCTTTAACATACTACCTAAAGGGAACCTGCAATAACCTTGAAAAATAAAATTTAAAAATCCTACTATAGGAAAAAAAAAGAGAAAAAAATTAAAACTAAAAAAAAAAAAAAAAGAAAGAAAGAAACCTCCAACGTATTTTATCACTACCTATAGAAAGAAATCCTGCTTTGAGAGTATTCGTAATGCGGTTTTGTTGTCGTTTGTTGCTGCTTATTTCACTAAGAAGAACCCAACAACTAAGACTGCCTAGCCCGCCCGTCCTGTGCGCTTTTATTGTGCTTCTAACCCCAGTAGAGTAGAACTAAATTGCACTGAATGTATAGTTAACTCTGTCTTGAATTCTCTGTTTATGCAACATGCTCGAAAGAAAAAACGTTAAAAATATATCTATAATAATAATTTTTGGTCATTTGTCTTTATGTCCAGCTATGAATGTAGATTTTGTGTCCCGACAGCCCTGTTCCTGGTCCAAGTACTTTGTATTGTATACGTGAGTCATAATAAAAAAAAAAAAAGGAGAAAATATTTGAAGCTGAAATGACTTGCTTTTTCTTCACAGTTCTTCCCCCATTCTCTACTCCCTCCCTCCTTATTCTCCTTTCCTAACACTCTGGGAAAGATTTCCACTGATTTGACTTTGGGATGGGGGAACTTGCTTGGGGAAAAGTGTAAGAATGGAGAGAATAGATTGGGCTGAAAGGGCAGGTGACTGGTGTCCAGGGTGAGAGGAGGAGGAAGAAGAACAGTTCACTAGTAGAAAGAAGAAGGGGTACATCAGTATGCTCTTGAGTATGCTCCAAAGTGGGTTTCTAGGTGTTAGGACCCCAATGGGAAGAAAGATCTCAGTCATTCACCTTTCTCCTCCTCAGCTATAGCCTGGGCCCAGACAAAGAATCTGTTCCATGCCCCTCCCATGGATATGTCTTTTTTTTCCCCCCAGGAGCTAGGGCTGAGGATGAGGCAGTGAGGTTCTTTCTGATCTTCACATGTCCTTTGCAGCCAGTCCCTGGCACCCATCACCCAGCACTGGAATAGTGAACAGGGTGGGGGAAGTGTGAGGCTCAGGGCAGCTGACCTGTCAGAAGGGCTTGAAGGGCAAGATGCCTAAAGAGAGGCTGCTAAGTGTGGGGGATAAGGATGTTTCAGTCTGGGAGAGATGAGAGGGGAAGAAGAAATGGATGAGCTGGTAGATCAACCAGCTTGGGTCCACATTCTAGAATCCAAATTCAGTCAGCACAGGGTCATCACTGTCACTCAGCCCTCTTACGTTCACTCCACCTCTCTTCTGGCTGTTTCAAGCCAGCTCCAGGCTTCACCTTGGCAATTGGGCAGCTTTCTGGGCCCCCGTAGTGTACCCCTTGGCCTGGGGGGATGGAGCTACTCAGTGGACAGTCCTCCACCCCAACCACTGCAGGATAAGGAGAGTCTCCATTGGAATCTCCATTTCCTAAAATAAAGAGTTGAAGGCTTAGGGACCCAGGGGGCAAAAGAGTCTCTCTCTTCTCTCTGGAGGGTCCTAAACTGAGAAGTCTGTTTATGCCAATAAGATTCTGGTCAAATAATCCCAAATTCCAGAGATGCAAAACTTCTGACTCAGTCAGGAGGTGGGGGAGAGATAGGGAGGGAAGAGGATCTTCTTGTCTTCCATACCAGACCCCCAAAGACTGAAATATTTTTGAGGCCAGCTATCCCTGTCTCACACACCCACCCCTTTCCCCTGGTCAATGATTTTCACAGATCTAGGTTGAGGCCAAATCTTTGGTTGCTTTACTGGAGTCCCCGTCCTTGACTCCTAGGAAAAGTGGTCCTGAGTACAGGGTTGGGTCAAGCCATGTTCATAGGGGACTCCTGCCTGGAGACAGGCTTCGGCTTCGGGTTGGAAGCACAGGCTGCGGTGCAGCTGGTGACAGCTTTAAGCAGAAGCTCCGGGGAAAATCTGCCCCAACCTGGGGTTCCTACTGCGAGTTGAGGAGCCAGCCAGGTAACCCCATTTGCTGCAGGGGACACCGGCTACTACCTAGGGAGGCCCGAATAGAGGGCATTTTGCTCCGGATCGCAGGCCTTCCCATAGGCGTCCCCTCCGTACTCCCAAGGATGGCTGAGGGCTGTTTCATTTTTAAACGTGGAATTATGATTGTTATTAATAAAAATGTCTGGCCCAGTAGCCAAACGGGATGAGCCCTGCATTAAGTCACTCCGAAGGGCCTTGCCGCATTTTCCCCACACCAAATGCCCCATTCATCCCTGGCTCTGTGTTCTGCAACGTCCGTGGCCCCAAGCCTGTCGCGTCGGAGGGCGGGGTGTGTCTGGCGCCCGGTTTCACTCAAAAAGTCGGGCAACTAGAGGGTCAGACCCCGGGAGCCCTAGCCGGCCCCTCATGCAGCACTCGTTCCCCACTCCTCCTGCCCACCGCCTCTGTTTTCTCGTTTGGAAAGAAAAGGAGGTAAAAACCGTTTTATGGGGGAACCGTAATTGCGAGCGGGATGCTCTCTCTTTAGAAACGCGTCCTCCCAAATGCTCCCGCCATCCTATTACCGGAATGGGGACCATTCGGCTGCTGCAGATAGGACTTTCTCCCATTCTTTACTTTTTTTATTAGCCAATCAAAGTGGCTTCCGAAAGCTATTTGTGATTTGTGAAAAATAGTATCTTTCAAAATGCTGAGTTGAAGCATCTCGCTCATTTCGCCTTGAATTTATTATTCTAATCTCAACAGTAGAGACAGGATAATGTAGCTATTAAGTTGGGGGGCAAATTCGTTTCTCTGGATTAAAAAAAAATTCTCTCGACATTTTCTTTCCCTCCCCACTACCTTATTGCAGAAGCCAAGGGAGGTGCGGCCTTGGAGAAATCAGGGGAACCACGGGATTTAGTGAGCACCCTGAAAGACCTTTTGGGGGATCCTTTAGTGGGAGGGTGAGATTGGCCTCCCAGTCTTATCTTCCTTAAATTAGATGCCCCACCGTCTGCCTGCCTGGTGGTTGGGAAAGTTACCCCCAGCCCCAATTAAAGAGAACTCAGGACAGGTTGTGCCACAGACTAGAGGTAAAATTTCCTGTGAACTGCCCGCAGCGCTATCCCATTCTCCAGGCTGCCCATTGTGAGAAGCCAGGCCAGTGCTTCCTCCTCGTAATTTTTAACTACCTGTTATAAAATTTATGGGTGGGTTTGTAAAAAGAAACGAGGTCTCTGCATCCGGCTGAGGCTGAGGGAACTGCTTTGCTTACTGTGGGGGAAGCTTTAGGAAGGGACGCAGGATTCCCTGTTGGTTGGGGTGGGGACACCCAGCCACTGAGATTCCCATGTCAGTTCCTTGCTAGACCAAGGGGAAAGCTGCTGGCCTTCAAATCTCCAGTCATTGGAGAGAGGTAGCTAGGCTGCAATGCAGCAGAATTTGGTCTATATGGGGGAATTTATTCTGGATTTCCCACATTAGGGTGGACCACCAAATTTAGAGATCTGGAGAAATGGGTGATTGGAATTTTAGTATCAAAGGTAGAATTCAGGGCAGTAAAATGTTTCTCTTTCAAGGCCTCAGAAGCACCTCCCAGCTGCTAGGATACAGAACCAGATTTTTTTTTTTTTCTGAAAAAGGCAGATGGGTGTGGGCAAACTGACAAAATTGAAAAGGCTTAAATTTGCTTTGCACCTCAAAAAAAAAAAAAAAAAAAAGGAAATGGGGACCAAGATCTTAGGCTTTGATTTTGATGTTAACTCTAAAATGTTTGTGATTAAGCTGCTATTGAGGACCTAGGAAATGAGGAGACCAGATGTTAGGGATGGTCTTGGGGGGAAATGTCATTCTGTCTCAGACATGGACATGGAGATGGAGATGAGGGTTACTTTGAGAGTTCTGAAGCCCCAAACTCTCACCTCTCCTGCTGCTTTCCTAAGACTGTCCAGGGCTGGTCTAGCCCTCTAGGCTCTTTAGAGGACATCCAGGGCAGGCTTGGTTGGGAGACTGTCAGTGGCCTGGGAACTACTGTTCTTGTCAGGGGTGGAGTGGGAGTTTGTGAGGGAACCCCAGTAAGAATGATGTCGGTCTCATCCTAGAAAAAATGGTAAGGTTAGGGAGGGTATGCTTGTTCAGTTCCTTACCCTTACCAACCCTCACTGCCTCAAGGCTACAAATCTTTGCGAAGCTTTGATTCCCCCAGATCCAACCTTATTACCTCCATTTATTAAGGAAAATATTAAAACTCGGCACAGCAGGAGGAGGCAGCAGACCCCCAGCTTCGAACCCTTCCTTTTTCCTCCCTGCATCCTCTCCCCGCTCTTTCTGTACTCGCCTGGAGCAGCGGGCCCTTGGGGAGTGGGCGGTGAGTGGGGGTGGAATGGGGGTGGGGGGGATGCTCCCTTTCCGAGAGAATTGGGTAAACATGGCGACCGCGGCGCCCATTTGCACACGCTACACAAATGCATCGCATTCCCGGTTGTTTGCAGAAAATTTACAGCTGAGTAATAAAAGTTTACGATCGACTCACAAGTTGGATTGGCCACAAGAAGTCATGTGGATTCCATCCATGAACGTGAACTTTTTATTGTGGTTTGTCCGTTCCGAGCGCTCCGCAGAACAGTCCTCCCTGTAAGAGCCTAACCATTGCCAGGGAAACCTGCGCTGGGCGCTGCCTTCATTATCAGTATTTTTTTTTTATTAATCTGATTAATAATTATTTTCGCCCCATTTAATTTTTATCCTCCCAGGTGGAGTTGCCGGAAGGTGGGGGCACCTAGGGAGGTCGGTAATGAGAGGGGAGAGGCAGGAGTTGAGGGTATCTCCCTCTCCCTACCCAGACCCTCTGGCCCCCAAGGGGCAGGAGGAATGCAGGAGCAGGAGTTGAGATAGGGAGCTGCAGATGCCTCTCCCCCTCCCCTCTCCTAGGCTTTCTCTCCTGACCCCTTCCTGCAACTCTCCTTAATTTTATTTGGCTTTTTGATAATCAGGACTATTCTTTTTTATTTTAATTTATATAAAGTATATGTGTGTGTGTGGAGCTGAAACAGGCTCGGCAGCGGCACAGAATGAGGGAAGACGAGAAAGACAGAGAGTGGGAGAGAGAGAGAGGCAGAGAGAGAGGGAAAGAGGGAGAGTGACAGCAGCGCCCGGTAAGTGTTTTCTTATTGGTTCAAATATGTAACTAATGGTCCGTAGCTGGGTGGCGGTTTTAAGATAAGGGCAGCAGCGGCTTGTCTTGGTTGGAGAGGCTAGGGGGCTGGCGGAAGGGTGGGCGCGTGGGTAATTATGGGGAGAAAAAGTGGGGAGTAGATGGGGTTAAACTGGAATACTGGTAACCGGTAGAGGGGCAAATGTGCTGTCCTGATGTCACTGTGCGCCGGAATTGAGGGTGGTCGGGGGCTCGAGAATTTCTCCTGTGGGGCGCAAGCTGGGGTCTAGGGCGCCGGCAGCCTAATGCCCACTGTGTCTATACCTGTTTATTATAGATCTGCCTACTTTGGCTAATGGGACTGAAACGGAGGGGTCTAGAAGCTCAAACTGCAGGGCAGGAGCGAGAACCTGTAGGCTGCGCCCATTGCCCCCAGAGCAAAATATCCCCCCCAACCTCCAAACAAACTTTCCAGAGCCCCCTCCCTGTCCAGCAGCCCCCTCCCTCCCGCGGAGAGCGACCAAAAGAGCTCACACATGCGCAGTGTGGGCCCAGGGCTGGGCCGCAGAGCAGGAAGCTAGCGCTGCTAGGCGGGCGGCAGCGCCTGTTAATTGGCAATTAAGGGGGAGGCTAGTGGCTGGTGCGCGTCAGCAGAAGGGAGAACGTCTGCCCACCCCCTGCTCCCGCCCCTACCCTGGCGGATGGAAGGATGGGAGGTGCCCTGCACTGCGGGTGGAGGGTGGAGGGTGGAGGGTAGAGGGTGGAGGGTGGAGGGTGGAGGGTGGAGGGTGGAGGGTGGAGGGTGGGGGTTGGGGATGCAGTACTCAAAAGCCATATTGTGCTCGGAGGAAAGAGGCCTATCCGAGTTCCAATCTGGGAGCCAGCGCCCTCCATCCCCAACCGCGGCCATTCCACCGGGGTACCCATTGAACAGCCTCACGCACCCCACATGGCTGCTCTAGGCTAGGATCTGCCCCTTCCCGGGCGGAGGTCGGAATTCAGGAGGCCTTAAGCTGAGGGGGGACTGGACAGGCCTCGATGGCAGGGCCTCCTGGGTGCTGTGGAGGCAGTGAGGATGGTTGGATCTTGCGGTAGCGGCGTCAGAATAGGGTGGTCAGGAGAGTCCTGGGCGCTCAGGATCTTCCTAATAATTGGTGCTAATGGCATGTTGTGTAGACTTAACCTGACACATATGGTTTCATAACACAGTGGCTTAATTTCTTCCAAATGTACGTGGCCCTGAATGTGTTGCACTGTGATATATGACCCCGCCCCGCTCCCCAGCCTGGGTCCAAGGCAGCCCTATATGTTGACTTTCTGTTTATAAAGCCCGACGCATATGCAAATGCTTACACAACCAAGCAGACACACCCCAGAGTTGGGGAGGGGACGTATTCCTGGCGAAGTTCGAGAGTCTGGGGGCCAGACTCACCTTCAATGTGGGCCAACATGCTCCCCCCCATTCTCTCCCAGGGTCGCGACTGGGATTTTGCGCCAAGCCCGCGTGGGGGGAGGGGAGCGCTCCTCGATTTCCTGTTAAACCCTGACCGGTGGCCTGAGGTGGGGGGGTTAGGAAGGGGGAGGGAACCTGTTTTTATCAAAATGTTAAAAAATAAGGTTCGACTACAATCAAATCAGACCCCTTGGGCCCTAGCTGACGGTGAATCTTCTCTCCCCTCCCCCCACAATCCCTTTCCCTTCCTCTCCTGCCCCCCCAAAATTCCCCTTTCGCAGTCGACATAAAGGCCTCGGAGGTATTCTCCCGGGGGAAGAAATGGCATTTTCTCTCCCCCTTCCCACTCCCCACCCCCAATAGGACTGGTGTGTCGGCAGAGGCGTCTGCCGAGGGGCTAATTTCGCGTTCCTTGTTTACGATCGAGAAAAGCGCTTGGCTCTTCCCAAATGGGCCCAGCCCGCCGCCTGCTCCGGCTGCCGCGCGCTCTCCCGCGGCGCAGGCACGGCCCAGGGGCTGGCGCCCGGGGAACCAGGCAGTGGCCGGCTGGGACTCGAGTCTGTGGGACCTGAAAAGGGCAAGGGGAGTACAGTGGGACTGTGGAGGGGCCCGGGAGGCCCGAAAACGGGAGCCTTTCTCTTGGCGTATTGTGGGAACCGCAGACCGGTGAGGCCTCTATTTCTCTTTCGCCTGTATTTTGTCCGCCCCTGGCCTCTGTGGATGGCCGCACTGACGTTGGGGGGTGGGGGGCACAAATCTCCTTTGTTATCACAGAAAGAAAAGCGTTTCGGGAGAAGGCTATTCAGGCCAGTGGTTATTCACCTGGGATATTAGCAGGACCCCCCCCTCCCATCAGAGGGGCGGTCCTGAGCAAAGCAGGGGTATTTCATTAGGCCTACAGGGATCTAGTTGAATGTGCTAACAGCGAGATTTCGGGGTGCTAGGATGCAAGGTTGACAGGTTAACAGCACTATCCTGAGGTATCCTTATATGTGTTTATCGATTTACTGTCTCTTCCTTGCTAGGGTTCTGCAGGCCCCCACTTTACCTATGCCCTTCACCCCTAGAAATAGAGGGATGCAGAGATAGCAGGGCAGCAGGCACTGGCCCTGGTTTTTCAATTTTCCGGTCTGGCTAGGGGAGAAACCAGAAGCTAGTCCTCTGCTTCCCAGTTACTTTCGTTTTTTCTTCCCCTTCTTTCTTTTCCTCTCTGGTGCTCAAATGGAAAGCACCAGGGGATCCCCCAGTGGCAGCCCTCAGCTCTTGGCAGGCCAAATTCTCTGTGGATGTGGTCCTCACTGCAGGAGATCTCTTCTGTGATTATCTAATAATAGCCATAGTGGCTGATAATAGAATCTGGCAAAAGAACTCTGCAAACCTAGTGCTGAGGCTGGGCAGAAACAGGATCAGGGCCTGGCAACTTTTCCCAGAGCCCAGGGCCCCAGCATCCCGTTCTCCTCTGAACCCACCCTTTGGGCACCCTCAGGCCTGCCCCTTCTGGGGCTTTGTTAGTTCAGCAATCACATCCTCTGTGTTACATTCAGGGTTCCTAGCTAAGGAGAAATGGGCAGAGCAAACACTTTCTCTCCTTGGTCTGTCAGTTGTGATCCCCACGGAGAATGCGACCTTGTTTGGAGAAGGCAACCTTGTTTGGTTGAATGTTGTGTTCTGAAACCAGCCGTGGTGACTTTATGCATTTAGTATATACAGGCTCAAATGTACAGACTCAGACTTATGCATGAATATATGCAGTCTCATATTTCCTTGGTGGTTAATTGTATATTACCATGCCTATATTCGCTCAAACTCCGTTTTATGTGCGTGCAAAATTTTGTTAGCCCCCACTAGATGAGAGTGGGCTCATGGAAGCATCTGGTGTACCAAAGAGGCCCTCTCTGCTGTTTTGCTGGAAATATGTGTGCTCTGGAATCGGAGTATGCGGGTCCAGTAACCAACGGATGCTACAGGAGCTTTCTCAGACTTTACTGCTTTTGCTGTCTGTGCAGCTGGACTGGGGAAATACTAAATCCCTTCTGTTTTCCTTCCTCACCTTCCCGCATACTCCTCCAATTGACAGACTTTGTTACAAGGGAACCCAGTCATCTTGAAAGTGAGGTCTCTGGGGCGTTTTGTGGGGGTATTGTGGGCCTCTGAGCAGTTCCCAGCAGTCAGAACTGGAGTCTAGCTGCCAGAAGCCTCATTGGGGCGGTGAAGGGATTGGAGTAGTTAATGAGGTGACTCGGGGCAGTGGTCTGGGGTGACTGCCAACCAGACCAGGGTGCTTGGAGAGGCTGGTGTAGAAGGCTAACCAGAAGGGTTAGGGGTTCTGTGACCATCTCTCCCTCCCTCTGCTTATTCTGTCCACTCACCCCACCACCCTACCCCAGATTTGACTGTGTAAGGGGCCCAATTAAGAGTTAAGGTCCCCTGTCTATGCAGATCTGGTTATTGGTGGGATTGCACTTTAATCCTGACTGCAGCCTGGACCAAAGCAAAGCCAGGCTAAGAAAGAAGGCCGATGGAGACTTTCAGGAGTGGAAACTGGGCCCTGCCGCCTTCGGGCCTGGAGCACTCAGCATGGGCCGCTACTGGGAATTAATCTGCCTCCTTTCCAGCCTTTCCAGCTTCTGGGGCCACGAAAAGACAAGGGCAGAGGGAAATAAAAATGTCAGTAGAAAGCCCTATAAAAGAAAGTAAGAACAGGAGCAGGGCTGGAGGGGTTTTCTGCTACTCCCAAGGCACTCAGGTTCCTCCCAAGAATCTCCTGTCTAGACTTGCTGTGCCGGAGGCCCACAGCAGCTATTTTTCCACCTTCCTTCCACACTTACTGCAGGCGGACTCAGGCTTTTGAGCCTTGGCCACCTGGGGCGCTGGGGTGACATTACCCCAGGACCGTGCCCCTCACCCAGCCCATGTCCTCTGCCACGGCGCTGCAGCCGCCCCTGTTTATTGTGTCTGTGAGTTGTTTACTTGTTTTGTCTGCTGCCACCCTGCGTCAGAAACCCGCCAAACCAGCAGATTCGCCTAGAAGAACAAAGTGCAGCACTAACCCAAACTCCCTCCCCTTTCCAACACCCTTCTCCCACCCTAACACTCTCCCTCATCCTGCCTTTCGGAGGGGAGGAAGCAGAAATTGTTCTAAAATAGGGCAGCTGTTTAAAGGGTCAGGGAATTATGGGGACACCATAAACCTCCGGGTGTCCTGGTGGCAGAGACTCACAAGCAGCCCTTCTTTTGCCTCCAGCTAGCATTTCTTCCTTCCCCCTGGTAACCTCTTGGCTAGGGGGGGCACAGTCATTAAGAAAGTTGGGCTCCCCTCGCTGCACTCCTCCATTCTTTTCTGCAGGAGTTTCCCTGAGACACAGGTTGTTGGGTTTTTAAATCAGGGTAATGTTGGTAGATTTGTAAAGCTAGACAAAGCATATCATTTTTCCCACTTCGTTCTCCTCAGCCCCCCAAAATAGCAGTGAATTTAAGCAAATCCTACAAAATTAAATTGCCCCTTTGCTAAAGATCCTATAAATCTCCAATCCCGCCAGGTGTAGAGTAGGAGAGGCTGCTGTTCGCCTTTAATTTTGCTCCTGGCTATCAAATCTAAAAGAGTATCATGGAAGTAAGTAATATTCTTGTTTCTGAAATTAATCCCCCTCCTCATCTCTCTCCCTCTTTTCACCAACGCATATTAAATGGTTCTTTCAAACTGCAAACAATAAAGGATAAAATTATTTATAGGGAAAAGAGGGTGATGTTTTATTGTTGGCTTATTGTTCCAGAACATAATAATATTTTATTTTCAAGCAGGAGAAGTTAGACCAGGGAATAAGAGGAGGAAAGGAAGAAAAGTGAGGGGAGATTGGGCACCCACACATAAAAATCCTGTTGTACATAACTTTTATGACATTTACAATTTCCACATGACAATTCACTGTGATGTCATAAGTGCCTAGTTCTTGAATTTTGCAACTCTCATAAACCTCCAAAATGGGTCAAAGCAAAGCTTGGATGTTGAGAGGCATAAGAGAAACCAGAAGTTGGGGCTCCTTTGAGCTGGCGCAGAGCAGCACACCCCCTATTGCCCCTCCCTCTTTGTCTGACACCCTCTTGAGGCCCTAAGATATTCTGAATATTCAGGATTTAAATTTTTATTCCTGGGCCGAGCTGGGACACTTGCTTTGCCCTCCTGAAATGTCCCTAAGCATCTGAGCTCCCTCCCCATTCCCAATGGGACTGAGATGCTAAGTCCCCCAAGCCCCTTCCTCAGCTGATATTCAGCTGCTTATGATAAAGGTGAGAGGCTTGAGGGCCAGGCCCCAAAAAGCCAGAAATGATTTTTTCCAGATGGAACCGGAAGGGGGCTCAGAACTGAGTGTGATAGGGCAGAGATGTTTGGGACCTATTTTAGTTTCTAACTATAAGCCAGAAAAGTAAGTTGAAAGGCCAGACAAACACCAGTGTGTGTGTGTGGGGGGGGGCTTATCTGCTGATGGCAGCAGCAGCAAGTGGGGTGCCAATAAAGAAAGGCCAGGCAGAAATATGGAAAGAGAGAGGGAGGAAAGGAAATATGACTTAAGTTAGCAGAGCCCCTCCATACACCTTTCTTCTCTGTTGAATTACAATAAAGCAAAAACAGCTCAGGCAGTCTAAGTCCTCAGAAGAGTAGTCACCAACACAGGCCTCGGCGGTGTTTGAGGCGGTTCTCAGAAGCTTGACATGCCTCATCTGGACCCTTCCCCCACTCCCTGCTGACCCCCAACTCCCTTTAGCTGGCCAGCTTGAACCCTATTCCTAGAATATCAGCACCTACAAATGGGATCCATTTCCAGGTTGGGTGTGTCGAATTTCATTTTTCTCCAAGAGCCTCCAAGCCTGAACTTACAAAGGAGAGTGTTCCTTTTTGGAATGCAGTGTGTGTATGGAGGGGCTATGTGCTCAGAAAACTACAATATCTATGAGAAACTGGGAACACCTTGGATGAGTTTGCTTTGGTGTCCCCTAAGAGACCAGTCTCCTCCTTCAGGTTCTCTGACAGATTTGGAAGCTCTCTTTGCAATGCTTTTATTCAGGGTTCTACGGAGATCAAAGGAGCTTGCACACCAAACATTAAGCATTTGAGTAGGGTTTATTTTTTAAATTTTTAAATAAAAAAAATCTAATCACATGCTACTGGGGCCAGCTGAGCAGTCACTCCAGAACAGCAAAGCCTTAACCAAATAGTTTGATTGTGAGGTGAGCTGAGCAATTGTTGAAACGGCTTTCTCTGTAAGAGGGATTTCAGCCCTCGCCCAGTGGCACAAAAGGGGCCGGCGGGGCAACCGCTCTTCTCTGGCTCTGGAAAACTAGAATTAGGAGTGGTGGAAGAGTAGGGTCTGGCAGCTGTAGTAGCTTCCAGGCAGCCAAGCACCCAGGCCAAGGGAGTGCTGAGTCCTGTGGCTCCAGTGTTGGGGTCCTTGAGCAGCTTTCGGAGGCACCAAGCTCTAATTGGTGGTGCTGGCAGCCAGAAATGGGCTGTGTTGTATCTGTGTATGAGTGTGGGTGAGTCACAAACATCCTGACATAGCTGGGGGATCTGGGGAGAGAGAGAGGAGCCCTGCAGAACACAAACTAAGGAGGACCTTTGGAAAAGATTCTCCCCAAATAAAAATTCCAGATCTCATCGTGTTCATTTCACGTGTCCCTCCACCAGAAATTAATCTATTTCCCAGAGTACAGTGGACAGAAAAGGCAGGCAGAGCAAGGCCTGCCCATGAACCTCTTTAGGCCCTGGGTGGGGGCAGTCCCACCACTCTTTCCCCAGTTCCATCAAGGGAGCTACCAGCCTTTCCCTGGCCTACAGTGGGACAGGGCTCAAATAGGAGTGACTTAAGGCACCCTAGGAAACCCCCAAATGCCCAGCTCCAAGGTGACCCTTAGCCTTGGGTAGTCCAGGCCGGTGACTGCACCCCACTCAGGCCCAAGGCGCCAGCAGTAAATTCCTCTCCTATAATTAGTACTCACCGAAAGCATGTGTTTTGGATTGGGGAGGGGGAAGACTGGAGCATGAAGTGCCAACTTTCCCCCTTCATTCCTTTTCTGCCTTTTTGAATTCTGTCTTTGAATCCACTAATTATAGCTCTGAGAGCAAAAAAACTGCTTTTGACACCAAGCCCCTTCTGAATAGCTAATTCTAAAAGCTGAGGGGCCGGAGAAGCTCCTAAACCTGCCGGTCTAATGGGAGGTGTTCTCTGATTTCTCTAGGCTTGTTTTATAGAAACAAAGAATGAGTTTGCTCGCTCCCTCCTTCCCAAGACTTGTGCATATTTACAGAGCTCAACTGCAGTTTTAATAAAACATCTGTTCTTGCTTCTGCTGATGAGTTTCCATAATTGTTTTCAGACAAATTTAACAGGAAAATATAAATATATTTAGAAAAATCCAAGCTCCAGTTTCTTCCCCTCCAGATAGCCATGCTTTTGCCAAAAAATAAAATTAACATGAAATGGGAAAAGGAAAATATAATCCAATGTAGGGAAGATCGAGCTAATCTGACCTACTCTACCCCCTTGGAGCGAATCCTTCCAGCAATTTTCAGCTGCATAATTAAAGATCTAACTGAAAGAAGGAGGCTTCTTTTCTCAGAATCGGAAGGTGATGGAGGAATAAACTGTGTTGGAAATTATTTTTGCCTCCAGTCTTTAAGCAGTGGGGGAATGTATTTGTATTTCTGCTTCCCTTTTTCTCCCCCCTCCAGCATTTCTGCCTTTTTTTTTTCCCCAGCAGCTGGTTTCTGTTCATTATAAATCCGCGAGACCTTTCAGTCTCTGCCCTCTGTTTAGGGATGTAATAAAACACTTAACTTTCAGGGCCTGAGACTTACTTTCTGTTCCTCAGATCACCACCCCCCAAGCCCACCGACTTTAGGCCCCAAAAGAGAATCTCCCCAATTTTGGGGTCCCTTTCCTCTCCAGAACTGCTTAAGGAGAGGCTCAAGGAAACTTAAGCATCTTTGCTGGGGGGCTGTAGCAGTGCTTCCCCAAGAAGCCCCTTCTTTCTTTCCAGCTCCCTCCCTCCCACCCATCCATACAAGAGGTCTTAAAATACATAGAAAAATCAACACTCATTGAAAGCGAAACCTCATTAAGACATCCTATCTTCCATCATTCAATTTGTTGTACATTGCAACAATTTAATATCTTGAAGGAAATATCACTGACATGATTTATCCCTCTAACAATCTTGCTTTGAAATTGGGGGGGGGGATTTACTCTTTCTTCCAGCCTCTTCTACTTGTTACACCGCTACCCTCAGGGCAGAAAGGAGGCTGGCAAATCTGAAAGAGGCTACTTGCATCCAGGGGTGCTGACTTGTTTCCTATTCCAGCTCTAGGGTACCCCCTCCCCTTGTTCTCTCTCCTCCCTACCTCTTGCCCTCCAGGGAAATTGGAGCCCCAGCCAGCTGTTGGAAACCTCTGCCCAGGCATGCCATGAATTTGAGGACAGCTGGATTCAAGGAAAAAAAAAAAAGTAACTCACACTCGTGTCTATGTGTACCTGCCATATCACCCCACAATGAGATAACTTCCTCTTAAAATTCCTTTCTTAATGTGAGCATCCTCCTCTATCCTTTCACCTTCCTCTCCTTGGGAAGAAGAAAGTGTAGTCTAAAGGGAGAAACCTCTATAATTATGGGGATCTTTCCCCTACCCACCCTTCTAAATGCCAACCAATTTCCTTCCTTTCTGAAGGATGGGGTCTGGATATTTTTTACAGCCAACACAAATCGTCTTGTAGGAAGACTCTTCAACCCCCTAACGAGGTTCATGTATTAACTAACATGTTGTCTGCACCAGCTCCTATACACTGTCTGCTTTTGGGTTTGAAACTTTATTTTTCCCCCCTAGCGACACTCCAGGGAAACCTTAGCGTTACAGAAGATGAATAAATGAGTTTTTTTTCCCAGCGTAGTCCCGTTTATGGCTTTATTGCTACCCATTGATTACTTCGCTTTGTTACACAGAAGGAAAAGATCATAAAATCCGGCGACATCCGGGTTCTTGTTATAGCCAGTTACCGCCCCCCCCAAAAAAAAAAAAGTGAGGGGGAAAATATAAGCTTTCACTGATTCCTGCATACGCCCACCACCCACTTTTTTGTCAACTGAAAGCAATTTTAGCCTATGTCGCGATATCAAATTAGGTTTGAATTAAAAAGGGGCAAACCCCCTTCTGCACACCTTCGTAGTTTCAGTTTGCCAACTGCGGCTGTCTCAAGCCTCTGACCCAGCTGCATTTTTTCTAACCATCTCTTTCTTCCTCTCAGCTCCAAGTTTTGGGGAGAAAAAGGAGGGAAAGCCTGCTGAGAGTCTGGGGTGACTGGCACTTGGGAAAGAGTTCCCCAGGACCTCTTTGCTAGAATCCTCAGGCATCAGAACTCAGGTCCAGGGGCGCCTCCCGTGGCAGGGCAGTGAATCCGAAGCGGGTAGGGGTTTCTGACTTGTGCAGGGGCTTGAGCTTCAAGAAGCTAACTGTTCATCAGAGCCCCACCAGTCTTCTCTCCTCTTCCAGACTGGATCCTGTGTGAATTACCCCACCGGCCCTCGCTGGCTTCAAATCATAAATTCTCACCAACATAAACAGGAGTTGATGTCTCTAGAAAGAAGACTCGGGAGTTTTCTTTCTTCTCTTCCCTTCTCTCATCTCTCCCACTTTTTAACTTCTTTATCTCCTTTTCCTATTGTATTTTTATACATTTTCCCTTTTAAGCAAAAAATGTTGCTAGTATTTCCTCAGAAAGGGTCCTGTGGAGGAGGCAGAAGGGGGATAGGAGACAGAGGAGAACAGATGCGTGCTTCCTTTGCCAACTTAAGCTCAGTCACTGTACCCTGCAATCTCAGTCTCACCTCTTTAAACCTAATTGCTCCCCACATTCCTCTAACCCAAGACTCTCAGCCACTCTCTCTTTCCTCTGGGAACCATGTTTTATGAAATCCCTTTTTCCTTTTGATTTTTTAAAATTATTGGACAAAAATATAGCAGTTTAGTGATGGAGACTCACCCCATGGAGTGTCAACCAAGATTTCTTGTAGGATTTCTGAGAGCCTTCTCTGAGCTGGGAGGGAATTCCTCCCATGAAGAAAACAGAATGTAATTTTAGAAGGGGGAAGATATAAAAGATGAAATCAGGTTGAAAATACAGAGATTTCTCTGGCCCAGGCTCTGGCCACAGCAGAGCAAAGTTATCTGGGTCTGAGAGATTTCCTGGGAGTACATCTCTCCTTCCCTGGGTCCTAAGGTCCTGTTTATGAAAATGCACCCCCTGCTTCACCCCCAAACCAGTTCTCCACATAAATATTTTTTAAAAAAGAAATCCAAGTCTTACTTTCAAATCACACACTTAGTCTCAACTAGGGAATCAACAGAAGCAGAAGCGATTTTTTTCCCCCTTCTTGACATCTGGCTTGCGATTGGCTGGAAGGGGGTCAGCTGACTTTGTCATTTTGTCTGTCCTGGATTGGAGCCGTCCCTATAACCATCTAGTTCCGAGTACAAACTGGAGACAGAAATAAATATTAAAGAAATCATAGCCCGACCAGGTAAAGGCAAAGGGATGAATTCCTACTTCACTAACCCTTCCTTATCCTGCCACCTCGCCGGGGGCCAGGACGTCCTCCCTAACGTCGCCCTCAATTCCACCGCCTATGATCCAGTGAGGCATTTCTCGACCTATGGAGCAGCCGTTGCCCAGAACCGGATCTACTCGACTCCCTTTTATTCGCCACAGGAGAATGTCGTGTTCAGTTCCAGCCGGGGGCCGTATGACTATGGATCTAATTCCTTTTACCAGGAGAAAGACATGCTCTCAAACTGCAGACAAAACACCTTAGGACATAACACACAGACCTCAATCGCTCAGGATTTTAGTTCTGAGCAGGGCAGGACTGCGCCCCAGGACCAGAAAGCCAGTATCCAGATTTACCCCTGGATGCAGCGAATGAATTCGCACAGTGGTGAGTTTTACAGCTCCGAGATATAAATTAAATAAACTGAACTGGCTTTATGACCGGCTTCCCTAGAAGAACGGGCGGAGAGAGTTTTTTATGGCCCCATAAAAACAATCACGCTCGTCTCCTCGCCGACGCCGAGACAGGGCCCCCTCTTCTGCCCCCTCTGCTTGCCTCCCGCGCTGGCTCACAGGGGCCAGGCCCCCTCAGCCCCTGGTGGATTGGAGGGCTTCAAGGAGAGCTGAGGGGGGAAGGAACAGGGGATGAGAGGAAAGGGGCAGTGGTGGGGGAGCCCCAAAGTCGAGTTAGGCTGAGGAGAAGGGAGGGGGAAAGGGGAGGACAGAAAAGTGGGGAGAAGTTTTTAAGGAGCTAGGGTGCTTAGGAGGTGTGGAGCCCAGTCCTTGAGAAATGGGGCCCTTATCCCCAGTATTTGAGATTTTTCAAAATTCAGATTTTAGACTGGCAGCTTTCTGCCTGGTTTTTGCCCCGCCCCCCACCTTTCTTTGGGACACACATCTCCTACCCTATGGGAGGACTGAATGAAGTTGGGGCCCTAGACTGTACCCCCAGTGGGGGTGGGGCAGGGCAAAAGGCAGAAGACTAGACCTAGAGAGGTCGCGAGCTGCAGGCCAAGTTGGGAGGCTCAGGACTTTGCTAGGGGGAATCGTCTGCAGAGGACGCCTTGCTGATTGTTTTTAGTGTGTTTTGTGCCCGGATCTCTAGGGGTCGGCTATGGAGCAGACCGGAGGCGCGGCCGCCAGATCTACTCGCGGTACCAGACCCTGGAACTGGAGAAGGAATTTCACTTCAACCGCTACCTAACACGGCGCCGGCGCATCGAGATCGCCAATGCGCTCTGCCTGACCGAGCGGCAGATCAAAATCTGGTTCCAGAATCGCAGGATGAAGTGGAAAAAAGAATCTAATCTCACGTCCACGCTCTCAGGGGGCGGCGGAGGGGCCGCAGCTGACAGCCTGGGCGGAAAAGAGGAAAAGCGGGAAGAGACAGAAGAGGAGAAGCAGAAAGAGTGACCAGGACTGTCCTTGCCACCCCTCTCTTTCCTTCTCCCTTTGCTCACCCCAACTCTCCCCTAATCACACACTCTGTATTTATCACTGGCACAATTGATGTGTTTTGACTCTCTAAAGCAAAATTAGGGAGTCAAACGTGGACCTGAAAGTCAGTCTGGACCCCCTCCCTCACCGCACAACTCTTCACCATTGGCCTCCTCCTCCTAGCTCCCTCGCTAGCTCCTTCTCGGCTTGTCTGCAGGCCCCTTTCCCCGCCCAGGCCTTGGGGGCTCTCAGCCCTGAGCCTTGCTTCGGACTCCACAGATCTCCCTCCACATGAGGACTTGACTCCCCCCACCAGCCGCTTGACGTCCCCCACCCCCGCCCCCGCGCCCAGAGCGGGCTCGCGGGCCTGGGGCCTCCGTTCCCGGGCCTTAGGGCCCGGCCTGGCAGCCCGGGAGAGCCGGAGGCCCAAGGAGGGCGCGCCTGGGCCCCACAGCAACCCCCAGGGCCTCCCCGCAATCCCTGTCCGGCCCCTCTGCCCCAGCAAATGCCCAGCCCAGGCAAATTGTATTTAAATATTCCTGGGGGTCATTATGGCATATTACAAACTGTGACCGTTTCTGTGTGAATATTTTTAGCTGTATTTGTGGTCTCTGTATTTATATTTATGTTTAGAACCCTCAGTGTTCCGATCTCATTTAAAAAAAAAAAAAGGAGAAAAAGAGGGAAAATTACAAAAAAAGAAAAAAAGTGAATGACATTTGTTTAGCCAGTAGGAGAAAATAAATAAATAAATCCCCTCGTGTTACCCTCCTGTATAAATCCGACCTCTGGATCCGTTCTCGAATATTTAATAAAACATATTATTTTTAAAAGTTTATATCTGCGTTTCTGTTAATTCGCTCAGCCGCCGGCTTGGAGCAGGCTCCAAGCACTCCCGCGTCTGCCCGCCGCCTGCAAGCCCCCAGTCCTCTGCATTCGCCTTCTTCGGGAGCCGGGCGCCGAGTCCCGGCCTCCGAATTCTCCTCGTGACAGCGCTGGGCGGGATGGGAAGTCTCTCAGGGCTCCCCACGCGAACCGACACACACCCATTTAAAAAAAAAAAAAAGCCGTTTAGGATTTCGGTGGGGGTGGGGGTGGAGGAGCCCGGGTTAGTAGGGTTGGGCTCCAAGCCCCACACAGGCCTTTCTTTCCTGCCTGTGGTAGCATGGGGTCCTCGGCGTCTGAACCCCTAGCCCTAAAGGCTAGAAGAGAAGCATTTTCCAGGCACCAGGGTCTCCTCCCCACCACTCCCAGGACCGTGGGGAGGGGGACGCTCGGCAGCAAGTCCCCGGCCCAAACCAGGCCCGCTGTTGGGAAACGTGGCGGAGGCGGAGAGTCTAGGAGAACCAGAAGACCAGACCGCTGGATTGGAGTCCTTCGGCCGGGACTGAACGACTCAAGGACATCCCGAAAGAGAAAGCCTGGAAACTGAGCTCTCGCCTGTGCTGGGACTCCTGAAGTGGCCGGAACAAAATTCCTCCTTCTTTACCGCCCCAGCTTGTCTGGTTCCTTCCTCCTTCTCTCAAACCTGGCGGGTGAGAGGCGCAGCAGGACCCTAACCATTTCTCAGCTCCAGCCTTCTCTCCCCAAGCCCAGTGAGAAAAACCTGAGTGGGCCTAGTGGAGAGGTGGTGTGTATTTGGGGTCGGGAGGGGGGTCTCCTGAAGAGAAAAAAAATCCACCAGAGTATTCCAGATTCTCCAAATCCCCGCCAGCGCCTCCGCCTGCAGGAAGGGGGGCTTCTCCTGACAGAGGCGGAGATTTCCTGGGGAGAAAGAGCAAGCAGGAAAGAGTAAGACTTGGGACTAGGAGAGGAGAGGAAGGGGCAGAAGGGCTGCAGAGACCTTGGCCAAAGGCTGCCAATGTTGCCCAGGCATCTGCTCTGCCAGCCCCCTCAGCTGGGTCCTCTCCATGCCTCTGAAGAGCTAAGAAATTGCTCTCCTGTGGGCCTTCTGGATTCAGGTTCCTGGAAAGCCTGGAAAAGCACCAAAGGAAAGATCTCTTTGCTTAGATAATAATTGTGGAGGCTTGAATTTTGCCTCTCCATGCTCTCTAGTAGCATCTATTTTCTTTCTAAAATATCTGGCATGAGTAGTGCATGAGGATCACACACAGGGAAAAGTCCTCCCACCCATTTGTGTCCAGTTCTACATACACACACAGGGACACATTTGAAAACTGCCTTATTGTCACTTTGGGGTCCCTGGCATGATGAGGTCTACCCAAGTCTATCTACCATCTTATTTCCAGGTTCATTCCAGAGAATTTCCAGAACTCTCAGCCTCATGACCTTCCTGTCTAGTTTTGCCCATCCAGGACCCTTCCTCTTGGGAATTCTGTCCACCTTTCCCAAGGAGTCTACTTTCCCATATTTATAGGTACCTCCTCAGTAGTACTGGGGCCTTGGGGCCTTGGGGCCTTGGAGGCAAGGGACCTCGACCTTTGGTTTAGGAAACTTGAGATAAGCCCCCTTGGTTCTCCAACCTAGGCAGGAACCAGCCACACTACCTGAATTCCCCTTTCCTCATCCATTTTTAAAGTTTGGAAGGCCCTGGAGGAAAGGAGAATGGGACTATTTATTAAAAAGGCACCTCTGTATATCTTAAATGGGACCTTATCTTTTCTCAAATTTAAATAGAATTTAAAAGGCCAGCTCAGGGATTTGTTGCAGCTACAACCAGCTTCTCCACAGGGTAGAAAAATCCAGCTGCCAGAAGGCGACCAGAGCTTCAGGATGCAATTCTTCCATGTAGACACCAGGTGTCGCTGTGGGCTCGTTGTCACGGCTACCCCCCAATTCCAAGAACCTTTTTTTTCCCCTCTCCCCCTTCTCTCTCTTTCTCTCTCTCACTCCCTCTCCCCCTTGCTTGGGCTTTGCCAACATATCAAGATGCGTTTCGCCGGCTTCCATCACTAACCTCCCGGAGGTCATCAAGCCAAATTTATGAGTGGCCGTTCGAGTCACGTGACTCTATTTAAGGCTCCCTTATTTGGGAAGAGCGCATAGGATAAAGAAAGAGATATCTCCACCTATAAATTGTGCACTTTGGAGAACAAAAAACCCCTCAACTTCAAAGAGTCACAAATCACCCTTAATCAAAAAGGGTGCAGAAATTTTTTTTGGGCCCTCCCCGCCATGAGCTCCTACGTAGCCAATTCATTCTATAAGCAGAGCCCCAATATCCCTGCCTATAACATGCAAACTTGTGGGAACTATGGATCGGCCTCAGAGGTGCAGGCATCCAGGTACTGCTACGGCGGATTGGACTTAAGCATCACTTTCCCACCGCCTGCGCCTTCCAACTCTCTCCACGGGGTAGACATGGCTGCCAACCCCCGGGCTCACCCCGACCGCCCCGCCTGCAGCGCCGCGGCCGCTCCGGGACACGCTCTGGGCAGAGACGAAGCGGCTCCTCTGAACCCCGGGATGTACAGTCAGAAGGCAGCTCGCCCGGCGCTGGAGGAGCGAGCTAAGAGCAGTGGGGAGATCAAAGAGGAGCAGGCGCAGACAGGGCAACCCGCCGGACTGAGCCAGCCACCGGCCCCGCCACAGATTTACCCGTGGATGACCAAACTGCACATGAGCCACGGTAAACTTTAGGACTTCATTTTGCGCGCTCGGGTCCGCCTGGGTTTTATAGGCCATGCGGGGCAAATAAAGAAAAAAAACCTGCGGCCATAAATTTTACGATCCAGGCATCAATGGCTCGTAAAACTGTCCACTAAAAGGCTTAGAGGCTGTGTGCGCCCAAATTTACGACGACATAATTGGATCATAGGAACAAAACGTGTATAAAAGGCAATATTCAATTTTTGGGGGAGAGGGAGGGAGTTAAAAAAATAGAGGGATCTGAAGGGTGAGGAGCGCGGGGCTCCAGAGCGGGGATCCCCCCGCGGCTCCCTCCCTCCCTCCCCTGCGGAGCCGGCTCGGCCGGCGCTCGCGGCTCCGGCGGATTCCAGCGACTCGGGAGGGGCGGGAGGGGGGTCCCCGGTGCCCGGATCTCGAGGGTGCTTATTGTTCGGTCCGAGCCTGGGTCTCCCTCTTCCCCCCACCCCCCGTCAGCCCCTCCGACTGCTGAGTGAAGGCTGCGGTGGAAAGTTTCCTGCCTGGGCGGAGGCGTCTCTCCCGGGGCTAGGTTGGGCTGGGTCGGCCCGCCTGCGGCCCACCGGGCCTATCTTGCGGTTCTCGCCTCCTCTCCCTCCGGCCGCGGGTGGGGGCCTGGGGTTGGGATGGGACGCTGGGGCGCTGCACGCTATTCACCCCTTCCTGGCTTGGGGGGATTTATGTTCCAGAGACGGACGGCAAGCGGTCCCGAACCAGTTACACGCGCTACCAGACTCTGGAACTCGAGAAAGAATTCCACTTTAACCGCTACCTCACTCGCCGCAGGCGCATAGAGATCGCCAACAACTTGTGTCTCAACGAGAGACAGATCAAGATCTGGTTCCAGAACCGCAGGATGAAGTGGAAGAAAGATTCCAAAATCAAAAGCAAAGAGGCTCTTTAGAGGCAGTGGGGAGGCCCGCAGAGATCACCCCAGCCGGCTTGGGTTCCTCGCGCCTTTTCTTTCGATTTTCTCTCTATATTTTTGGGTGGGTCAGGGGCTGGAGCACTGGCTCCCGGGCCTCACAGACAAGCGCTTTTTCCTTGGCATTTCTGTATCCCCACCAACCCAGGGTTCCTGCCAGGCTGCCGGCACTGCCCCATCTCCCCTCAGCTCAGCTCAGCTCAGAGCTCAGCTTAGCTGGACATTCAGGGCCCAGGGCAAACTCTGCAGGGCCTCCCCAGAGGGCTGCGGCACACCGCAGGCTGGTGCTGAACAAACCTCAGCCTGGGCGGCTTCTTCAGCTCTTTGCCCCAGAGTGGCCCGCCTGAGTTAAGGTGGGCCCGGCCACAGGACCCTCGACCCGACCTCCGGCCTTGAGCTTTCCTTTGTTCCTTGTTAGGCGGGCCAGGCGGCTGCAAGCTGGTGTGAGAGTGCTTATGCCTGGCAGTCTCTTGCCAGATTCGGGGCGATTCCTTATAGCGACTAAACTCGGTCTTCACTTATTAATGATTTGCATATGAAAGGGGGAGATGACTGAACATGGCCTTAGGGTCCTCTTGGTTGCCCTATCCCCCTCCAAACCTTTTCCCGAAAAAAAAAAAAAAAAGACTGGGAGCCTACCCAATCCGAGCCTGCTGCATGCCCTCTCAGGTCCACAGCCCCAACCCCCTAGCTAGCTCAGCTATTGGGGTTTCCTGCCACAGGACCCCAGCAAGTGATCCTAGAGGCTCCATGCCATCCCACAGTTCGTGCCATGATTTTCTTTCCCTCCTGCTCCATCGCTCTTGCTCAACTATTTATTGACTCCGGGGTTCTTCCTGAAGCTATATTTTGTCATATCAAATAAAGACCAAGAGAGAACAGGACTAAAGACGCAGTGGCTCCTGTCTGTTTAGGGCATGTACTGGGGCAAAGTGTCAAAATGAGCTGTGATGGTTAAGGGGAGGCCTACAGTCTTTAAGCCTCTCCTTTAAAAAAAATATTTTTAGGTACTTCTAGGGACAGCAAGAAGAGGGAAGTGAACGTGAGTTCTTTTCTTGATTCTTAGCTCTAAGAAGGACCTCCAGGGAAGAGGAGCGCACCGGTCCTCCCATACTGGCATTTTCCCATGCAGTGGCTACCCAGGGTATTCAGGCCTCTACATTCATTCCCACCTTGGCTGGGTGTATCTGAGACTTCTAGACTGGCAGTGTCCTTCATTCCACACCAGAGCTGATGTGTAGGGAGAATCAGTGGCTCCGCCGTGCTCAGACTCAGGCCCTTATAGGTCTCTGAAGATCTCCCCTAGGGCTAGGTGGTCCTGGGGCTTTACTGGACATAAGAGGGTTGAGCCCCTAGTCTAAGGACCCACTTGGCTCCAGAAGGACCTCCCAGAGAGTTGGTATTGCTGGACAAAGTGGTGCTGGGGAAATTGACTTAGGTGTACTTCAGCTTTCTAAGATGCTGGGGAGATGAGAGGGAGAGCAATATGCAGTGTATACCTGCCTGGCAGGAAATGTTCAAGTGGTTTCCCCCTCCTCCTAGGAGGTCTAGGGCTATGCAGAACAATTAAATGGGATAAGAGTTGTATAGACCAGTGCCAGTGTCATGTCTTTTTGCCATCATTTATCTCAGGCTCAGATTTTGTGTGAAGAGGGAGAGTAGCCTCTAGGGAGAGGAAAGGCAGCTAATTCAGGTGGTCTCTGAGTCTGGTCTGGGCCTAGGCTCTGCTCCTCTCTCCTCCAGGCTCCTGGGATGAATTGGGGGAGGAAGCACTTTATAGGAGAAACAAATGTGAAAAGGGTCCATAAAACTTTACTGCATTTCCTCTCCCACCTCCCACAATGGGGTGATTTCCTGGAGCCTAGCCTAGGCCCCCCGCACTGGTGGGGTGGGGTTCTGGAGTTGGGCTAAGGGGCTGCTCTGACAGCCAAGAAGGAAGGGAGCAGAGGCGCTCTGGGGAGGGGCAGGGGGAATATTTATGATTATTAATGCTTATGCTCGTTGGATTTATTATAAGGACTGACTTTGCTGCATCCTACTCTCTAGGCTACCAGTCCATCATTTTTAGAAGACCCAAGAGCTTTTATTCACTCCATGATTAGCACCCATTGCTATTACCCTTCCCCTTCATACTGCACTTAGGCTTGGTTAGAGCACCAGTGATATCTCTCCTCAACTTGCACAGAGGGTCAGCCCAGCCCACCAGCACTAACTCTACTCTTCTCTCTCTCTCTCTCTCTCTCTCTCTCTCTCTCTTTCTCTCTCTCTCTCTCTCCCCCCCTCTCCCCCCTCTCTGAAATAAAATGTGTAATTTTCTTCAGGGAGTTATTTTAATTTTTTCTCCATGCTGAGTAAAACTATTGGGCGAGCAGTGAAGCATGAAGAAGCACTGGCATCTCCGGTGGGTAACAGTTAACTAAGAAAGAGGCAATGTCGCCTGCACTCACCCACACCAGCCTCCCAGGCTGCAGAGGGCCTGTGCTTCCTCCCCAGGAGATAGACCAGGGGAGAACCAAGGGTTTTACTGGGACTGGGGACAATGTTGCTCAAACCCATCAGGCAAGGTGCACCAGTTCCCTCTGGCATTGTCCACCTCTTCCCAGCAGGGTCTGGGCCTCCCCTTCCCTGAAGGAGCTGAAGGACTGCCTCAGCTTGGCCAGGCTTAGGGAGACGCCTGCTCTCTTCCCTCCTGTCACAGCCTGCAGGCCTGCATCCAGGCCCAGCCTCAGCTTTAGCGGCAGCAGCACCAGCAGCGGCAGAGGAGCCACAGGCCTTGGATCTACTCCCCTGCACTGGGGGTGGGTGAGGCCCAGACCCTTGTTTTCCCCCTGAGCAGAAGCTTCTGCTTAGGGTCCAGAGGAAGCTGCCCCACCAGCCATCCTCCTGGAACAATCTCCAGGTACCAGGGTCTGGCACTGCTCTGGAGGAGTAAGTGAAGGGGCTTCTGGGTCCCAAAAGGAGACCATCAAGCCTGCCTCTCCACTTTTCCCTGGAACCCACCCACTCTGGCAGCCAGAAAGAAGGGGAAGAAGCATGACTTACCTTCCCGGGGGAGTGGGAAGAGGGGACACGGCCCACTCTGAGCAATTAGAGGAGAGAGGAGGAAAAAAAATAGGAAGAAAAAATATCAACACGACCACGAAGGCGACAGGTCCTTATGGAAATAAGCAAGTAACTAAGTAAGTAAATAAATAAATAAGTATCCACCCTCTCTCCCCTCCCCACCCTGCAAGGGGGGTGTGGGGGTGGGGCAAAAAAGAAGCACGAGGGCTTTTTAGTGTAACTGAGCATTAGAAAAATAGGCACAGCTTCTATGTGAATTTAGGAGTTTGAAACTTTTGGAGGTTATTTATGTGAATGGCCCGAAGGCAAGCCCGTGAGTGGCTCTTGGGGGACCACGTGATGTCATTAAACCAAGTTTTATGGTGTAGGGAGAGCTGACAAACCCACAATATATTTACATCATATATAATCTTAACTGTCCAGCCACGCAGCTGCTGGTGAGGTTTAATGCTAGGACAGAGGGCCTGGCAGTTAGAGGGGATTACGGCGCTGTGGATGATGGCGAGAGAGGTTACATCTTCGCAAATGAATCCCAGGCGAACGCTGTAAGTTAATTCTCTCCCTCTCTCTCTTTCTCTCAGACTCTTTCTCCCATTTACCTAACTCCCCCGCCTCCACCACTTGAAAGAAGGCAGTTCCTACTCATTAAGGGGAGGGGGGAAGCCTCCCCATGCTGGGGTGGGAGAGGAGAGGAAGCGGCTGGGAAGTAGGAAGAGGGGAACTTGTCTCCCCAAACCAGTCTTCTCCTCCCTACCCCGTTTTGTCTCTGAATGTAAACCAGAAAGACGCCATGGTTCCTTAGAGTTTTGCAAGGTCCTCCTCACTCCCTCTCAGTTGGGAAGGAAGCCAGTGGCAGAGACATGGGTTGTTTCTATTTGTTGTTTGTACGAGTGTGTAAACTCTAGACACAAGTGCAAAGTGCCTCTGGGGTCTTCTGTTCCAGGGAGGGGCCAGTTCAGTCCTTGGCTAGTGGCCCAGAATCCAGGCAGAAAGGGAAGCTGGGGAGAAAGGCAGGGAAGGAGGGCTTTGTGGCTTCAGACCCAAAGGCTGCTGCCTGGACTACTCCCAAAGTTTCTCACCCGCCCCTCACCACTAGGCCTGGGTGGGCAGCAGTCCCAGTCTCCAAAGTCTGGGGTCTTTGTCTGGGGCCAGTGCAGTTAATGCTTCCCCCTGCCTCTAGCTGCTGGGATCTTCCTGGCATCTCTAGTCCTTGGCTCAGGTAAAACTTAGGCCCCAGGAGGCCTAGAGGTTTTTTTCTCTGTGAATGTAATATCAATGTGTATTGGATGGGAGGGAATAGAGACAATATCTTTGCTGGACTAGAAAGCTTTCCATCCTGAGGAGTGATCTTTATGGGATAGAGGTAACAGGACCCAATCTGGGCATTGTATCCTGGGGTCACTCCTCAGGGGGTTTTGGAGGGGCTCCCTTCAGTTTTCCGGGGGGAGGAGTAGCAAAAGAATCAGGCATGGGAGGCACATGTCCTCCACACCTGAGAGTGCATACTCACTCCCATGCGTCACTGTCACCAGGAGCTAAGCCAGGAAAGTGACAACATATGAACTCAGTCTCCTCCAGAAGCAGGCAGAAGGCCAACAGGAGATGGAAAGGGGAGTAGAGAAGAGGGAACAAACTTCCGGAAGGGGAGGCTGCTTTGGAGCCAGAGAGGTCTGGGTACCTGCTTTGTGGAAAGGTGCATTTGGGTGATGAAGAGGGAATGCTGTTAGCACACTCAGATACCCAGGCCCAAGGGACTAGGGAAGGGGAGAGTATCAAGTAGAAATAGCTAGGCAGACTCTGGGAAGACAGAGACCCCAAAGCAGGAGTCAAGCAGAGTCTCACTGTGAGAAGAATTGTATTCCAAGAGTTGGCTTTTCTCATCCTCCAGCCTGAGATCTTTGTTTCCCTGGGAAGTGTTTGGATCCCAGAGGATTCTCTCCAGTAGCCTATTTCCTCCTGAGTTCTCTCCTCCCCACTTTACCTATCCTCCTCAACTCTCTCCTCCCCACCAGTCTGTAATTTTGAAGGTTTCTGGAAACTTTCCCATCCAAGCTTGGGGAGTTGGGAGTTTCCATGGCCTATAATTTGACTCTTGCACTCCCATAAGCCTCCCCAGGGCCCTAGCATAGAGGTCAATGGTGTTTTGCCAGGAATTTAGCCAGAACCAAAGTCCCTTCCTCTTCCTGGTCTCCTGTAGTCCTGGCAAGACTTCACCACCTTCTCTGACTCCTAGCCAAGTCTCAGTTTTGTTCCCTTTTTGTGTAGAGGGCTGTGTGGGCTTCTATGTAACAGATTTACATAGCCAACATCTCTTGAGGTATTCAATGACTTCCTCACCCTCTTTTCTGGTTTTTAAGCTAAAAATTTTCATTTAAATACCATCCCCCTTCCTGTCACAAATTAGATCTTCTTCCCCTTAAATAATTTGCCTCAGGTCAGTTTTTTACTGTTTTGTTGTTTTCACCTGGAAACAAGACAACAAACACAAAAGGAGTCTGAGATTTTTCCCACTCCCTTTCAGGGATCTGCATTTGATCATCCCTAGAGGGAAATGGGTGGGTAGGCAATCAGGTACCAGTGTGCCCCAGCCAACCCAAAAGGCTTCTAATTTTGTTCCTAGTTCTTTCACCCTAGAAGAGGGCAAGCAACCAATGAGAAATGTGCTAAGCAGGGTCACATGGCAACCAACCAATCAGCAAAAGAGTGCTTGGTTTCTGTCTAGCTCTTCCTCTCCATTCCTTTCCTTCCTTTCTCCCTTCTCACCATGCCCTTAGCTCCTGGTTCTGTTCTATCTCAGATTTGGAGGGGAAGAGTGATATGAGCCCT